ATTAAATGATATATATATATATATATATATATATATATAAGGCTCCTACAAGCAAAATAACTAATTGAAAAATAAGGAAATAGGAAAGGATAAGAAAGAAAATAAGGATAAAAAATTAGAAAGAAAATAAGAGAAAAGGTGTTCGATTCGATTCTGCCATGATCGCAAGATCCGGATGCCACACTCCTGGCCACGAGATGGCAAGACTCCATACGCTTGCAAGGAAGATTTGCGCCTAAGAGAATTAACATCTCAAGAAACATTTAACTAGAGGTAATGGAGAATGAGGATCTCTAAAACATTAGGATGAGGTCACTATATATGTAAAGATATCTTTGACAATGCTTGCATGAGAGGAGACTGGGTCATACTCATCAAAACCAAAAAACAAAACAGCCTATTATGACTTTATATGTCCACACAAAAAAAAAAAAGTACACTTTGAATATAGCACCCATCATTGCAGAATCGGCTATTAAACTGGTAAGATGAAGCGTCCAGAATTGTGATAACTACAGGAAGAAAACTCATTTTATAATTTCCAATGTTCATCTTTCAATCCCTAATCGCCAATATTTTCCAAGTAAAATTCCCAAACTAGAGGACTACAGCACAAAAAGGATGCCATTTAAAAAAAACAAATATACTTTTTGAAGCACACTTCCATAAGGTTCCTTTGAAGAAAAATATGACTTTTCAAACGCCACAGAAAAATCCGTTTATTGAAGCCAGGGATCATATAGAAATATAAGAAAGCGTATGATGAGGAGCTTTGACTCCAAATATATTCAATAAAAACCGGTTTCAATCCAGATAGCTAGATAAGAACTTGCAACAACTGAATGGCATCAGTCATCATATGGAGCATCATAGATTAGAGAAAATGAAGAGTTCATCCTTCAACTTAGCTTGAGTAGCATGTGCTAGAATTAGGAATGACAAAACAAAGCCAAACCTAATGTTATCTGCTTTACATATCTACCTTTGAAGATATGCAGCTCTTCCATTGCATCGATCCTTTCAAGCGCACAAATGGAACAGTGCTTGAATTTTCTCAATAGAATGATTCAAACTAATCAGTTTTGGCACAAAAGAAATCTTCCTCCAGATGTCTTACGATCGAAGAAGTATGTTATTTTCAAAGCAACAAAGTAACAGAAGTCTAGCATATGTCAGTTTTGACAATGATCAAGAGTGTATACATCATGGATAATGTTTGAAAAGATGTAAAGCCATGCAAATGATTAAAAAGAGCTTCTCTCTTCTACATGACATAATTTAAGGAGCAATGTCGGGTGGAAGCTTTAAGTAGAAATAGAAGAACAAAATGGCGAGATTTCGTGGCACAAGCATGACTAGTACCAGCTACACAACAATGTTCTGCATACATCACTGCTGACCGAAATGAATATAAAAAAAAAATAAGTGCTGAGAGAAAATTGTCAAAAAAGTCCCAAAATTAATAAAAGTGTCAATTTAATCCCAGGCTTATATAATATGAGTTAAAATAATCTCTAATGAGGACTAATTTAGCCCCTATTAAAAGAGTATAGTGACTAATTTAGCACTTTTACAAACTTTGGAACTTGACCAATGCTATGAAACGGCTATACATCAAAGTTTTGCTAGGATAAATTTCTAAACAAAATGCACATATGCAGGTTATAGTTTTTGGATGGCATCACAGAGAATAACAGCAAAAAGAAAACTTCAGATATTACCAATGCCTCAAGCTGTCCAGTATAAGGTTCATTACCACAGGATGGTTACAATTCAGTGTGTTTCCTGGACAACAACAGAATAAATCATCAAAAAGGCTGAAAATACCGGTCCAATTCAGAAAATGGAGAGATCTACTCACAAATGTAAGGTTGAAGAGAAGATCATGGTTATTACGATGATTATAAAATTGAATTCCCATGCTATTTTCATACAAAAAACCATGGTTGTATCAATCAGATTCCCAATTCAAGGGATAGAATAAGATGAGTAATTGAAAAAAATTGGTATAAAATGAAATAGTACAATTTTCCGGCATAAATACCAAATTTCCCTTAACATTTGGCATATATGTCCTATGAATCTATTACATATGTGTTTCCATCATGTATTGGTTTACCGAAGCCATAATTCAAATAATGCTCAATAAGGTAAGAAATGAGATGCTTCAAACACAATATTTTTAGTTCCAGACTGTTGTTCCGGACGAGAAAATTGGAATTAAGCAAATGAATTGCACAAACTCTATAACTTCTAGCCATCAGTTAAAAAAAAAGGAAAAAAAAAGGAAAAAAAAACTTTATACAAAAAATTTGGGGTTAGATTTTTGGATAATCCTCCTTTTTATTACTATAAAGTAATTACAGGTCACTGTTTTAGCATAACTTTGCAAATTTTTACCTGCCTATTATAAACCTATAGCGTTTCACATTCAGAAAGAAGACAAACAAAGGATGTTTTCTGTGATGACAAACAAAATCTCATGAGTAAGTTCTCATCAAACAGAGGTTGCAAGTATGGTCCAAAAACTTTTGGCATAAGGTACCAACTCCTTCCACAAGTGTAAAATCTTTTTACACTAAATTATAACAACTAACATCAAATAAGCAGCCTTATCAGTCTCTTTTGACTTCAGACATGAATCCTGATCTGCCATACATTCTTGTTGTATGTGGTGGGAAGAAAGACCATAATAATTGACTTTAAGCAAAACGTCAAAAACAATTGACTTCAAGCAAGATAAGGTTGCAGTGGTAGGAAGAAAGGCCACAATAATTATATTGATGAAAGAATAATTACCCGGGTTACAATTTGTTTTTGCAGGTGAACAAAGAACTTAATTGCCTTAGCTACAAACAACCCACGCAGCAAAGTAAAATAAAGCAAGTGATGGACACTATTTTTTTTTTTAAATCAGACGGGAAAATTATGAGGCCTACCCAATTTGAAACAACTTTTACTGGTACTATATATGACTTGAGCTGCCCTTCTCTGAACTCAAAGAATGCAACAATACAGGGAAGATGTCAACACAAATCGAGAAAAAGTGGACTATTAATAGTATCATTGGTTTCAGCAATGAAGCAAGATTTAGTACCAAGATAGCCCTTCCAAAAGGTTAAGGCGGCACAACTCAAAGATGACCAAGGAACCAGCACTGAAAGCTAAGTTCGGAAAATAATACAGGGAATTGAATTGAAAGAAGTAAAGATTCAAGTTTCAAAGGTTCAAATATAATTGAACTAGGGGCTGAACCAAAAATTATGACAAAATTTTTAAAGGACATGATAATGATACAAATATGTGACATAAAATAAAGAGAACTAGGTTATGAGTTAAGATGAGCATAAGACCGACAACTTTGACAAGCTTTTAGCAAGTTTATAAGGCCCCCTTTACGGCCAACAATAATGTGAGCATTACAAAATCTACAAGCTAGCCTTAATTAAAAATTCTCTAGGGAGGGAGGTAAGAGAGAGCACAGAGAAAGAGAGAGAGAGAGAGAATTAATCATTTGAAATTATGCCTACGAGAAACCTAACTCCAAATAATAACTCATTGGAAAGAGTAAAATAAGGGACAGACTAAGGTTACATAGGTAGAATATAAGCAAAAAAGGCTTATATGAGCTAAAGCTAACACCTAATATAGCACTCCACATGAACGAAAGAAGGATTCTTAAAACTTACTACAAAGCTAAGAAAGGCTAATATGATGAACAATAATTTAATCACTGACAACATAGCAACTTAGGCACTTAGCATCCAAGTTGTAAAAAAAAGGATGCTCGTGATGAATAATTTGCATTTGGCCTCATATTTTGTATTAAAGTTTTGGTACAATTTCCTCTAATAAAAAACATAGTTACGTTTAGATGCTCTCTATATATCTGATCCTATTTTAGATGAATATATTAAAAAAACACCAGATTTATTAAGAAAATCAACTCATGTGAATTTTTAATAAGATCCTTTTTTTATCCCAGTTTCTAAAATATGAACAAAGTTTGCAAGGTGCATATAAAAATATAACATAATCAAATATCATGAAAGAAAAATTTTAATATAAATTTGCCAAATAAAATTTTGATGGGTTTGATGGAAATACCACAGCCAGAGTAATTAAGCATTTTGGCATTATTTCGCATATCCATCATGTAGTAAACCTACAAATAATAAAGAATACAAAGGTAATAGATGGAAAAAAAAAGAATGCTGTTGTATATCCATGTATTCATGAACGGCGCTGTTCAAAGATTCTTCAAAAGAGGGCCCAAGTCCTGAATTCAGCATATTAGAAAATTACTATAAAGTAATGCCAATACTCACCTTGTTATCAATACCACGAAATGAAGTGGTGTATGGGTCCTTAGCATAATCTACTTCGTTAGTATGGTTGTAAACTACATCCAAAATGACCTGTAAAACAGCATGTTTAATCTTAGCTGAACTGAAAAAAGAAAAATTTACATACATGCCACTCAATTCCTATGTATTTACATATCTAACACCAAATTTTCAATTTTTACATATGTGCCCCCTTATCTATGCATGAAAAGGCATCTTTTACCATAAAAGTTAAAATAGTGGTCTTTTTTTATGTGCTATGAAAGATTTGGGTGGTATTAATACAAAATGTAAAATTTAGGTATTAGATATGTAAAAACATATGAATTGGGTGGTATTGTCAATATTTCGAGCAAATAAGTTGAATGTTTTTTCCTTGCTTTCATTCCAATAAATAATAGTCTGTACAATCTATTTTAGGTACATAATATTCTGTATAATCTATTTTAAATAACTTAATGAATGCATTGTCCTAATCTAAATATTCAGCTAAAAGGAAAGAATCCGTGCAAATATAGTATTTTCATCTTTGCAGCATTGCGAAGAAGAAAACTCTTTATTTTATCTGATTTCATTTATTCATGTTTGATATCCCCCCTCAAATTGATGTTGGCTAATCAAAAAACATCAATTTGTTGACAAGAAACTGATAACGCTGTCGAGAAAGAGTCTTAGTAAATATATCAGCCGTTTAAAGATCAAAAGTAATATGAGGAAGAGATATAACACCATCCTCATAGGCTTCTCGAATGGAATGACAGTCCACTTCAATCCGTTTCAAGTGCTCATGAATGATGGAATTAGCAGCAATCTGGATAGCGCTAGTATTATCTGAATGAAGAAAAGTAGATTCAAACTGAGGAAAAGCAAGCTCAGCCAACACGCCCCGAAGTCAAATGATCTCGGAACAAGAAGAGGACATAGCGCGATATTCTGATTCAGTAGATGACTTGGACACTCGATCTTGTTTCTTGCTCTTCCAAGAGATTAAAGAGTTGTCGAGAAACATGCACCATCCAGTAATAGATCGGCGTGTATCAGAACAACCAGCCCAATCGGCATCACTATAGGTTGTTTAGGCGATAGGAGGCTCCTCAGAAAAGAACAAACCACGATGAGAAGTATCTTTCAAACATCGAATAATACGTCGAACTGCAGTTAAATGAAGATGTGTAGATTTTTGCATAAATTGACTAACTTGTTGCACAACAAATGAAATATCAGAACGCGTAATAGTTAAATGATTGAGACTGCCAACTAGTTGTCGATATAGAGATGGTTGAGATAGAAAGTCATCATTATTATGTTGATATTTGACATTTACTTTCAAAAAAGTATCAGTGGAGCGACCATCTTGAAGACCAGCCAAAGCAATGAATCCCTTCGTATACTTGTGCTGATGAAGAAAAATACCTGCGGCAGAAAAATGAACCTCGAGTACTAAGAAATAAATTAATGACCCTAAATCTTTCATATAAAAAGAACCCTGAAGGTGTTTCTGTAGCTGAGACATCAATTGATTGTCAGGTCCTGTGATGACAATATCATCAACATAAACTAATAATAAAACAATTTCTTTGTCAGTCTTGCAAAGAAATAATGATGAATCATACTGACTTTGAATGAAAGAGAAGCTAAGAAGGGTATTGCGAAACTTTTCAAACCAGGCCCGTGAAGCTTGTTTCAAACCGTATAGGAACCGTTTGAGCTTACAAACATCATGTGAAGGTGTAGAAAATAAGCCTAAAGGAGTCATATAAAAATCTTCTTTGAGATCCCCATGTAAGGATGCATTCTTAACATCCATCTGCTTTAAGAACCAGCCTTTAGATGCAGCAATAGATAACACCAGTCGGACAGTTGTCATCTTAGTCATTTTATCTTAGCCACGGGTGCAAATGTTTCTTCATAATCAATCTCGTATTCCTGTCGATTGTCAAGAGCTATCAATCTTGGCTTATATCTGTCAAGAGAGCTATCAGATCAGAGTTTAAGAGAATAAAATCATTTACAACCAATGGGTTTAACACCTGTAGGACATGAAACAATATCTGAAGTGCCTGAAGTTCTTCTTGCATGGCTTTGACCCAGCAAGTCTGTTTAGCAGCCCGAAAGTAAGATGTAGAAATAGTAGTGTTAGTTAAAATTGCAGAATACTCATATTTATCTCGAGAACAGATACGTTGGGTTGATCGTCGAATACTTATTGGAGCAATTTCTGGATCAGGGTCGGGGAGGCTTGAAGGTGAAAGGGGCAGACGTCTTGTGTATACAATGTCTGACTTGAACTGTTTATCAGCAGAAGAATTATCAAATTATGGAAGTATAACTATATCTGGTATCGACACATGATACTGAAAGTAATATTCATGCTCAAAGAAAATCACATTCCGAGAAATATGTCATCGATTATTAATCGAATCATAACACACAAAACTTTTATGATTAGGATTTTTTATGAACTTTTATGATTAGGATTGTACCCAATAAAGACACATCGTACTGACTGAGTTGCCAACTTATGACGTACATGAGCAAGTAGATGAACAAAACAAACACATCCGAAGGTATGCAGCGTATGATAATTAGGATGTTTATCAAAAATTTGATAGTATTGAGACTCATAGTTCAATTGTTGAGATGGTACACAATTAATGAGATAAACTGTCGTAAATAAAGCTTCAGTCCAAAATTTAGCTGGGACAGAAGATTCTTTTTTTTAAGTATCTAATAGAAGTCAATTTTTTCTTTCAATAATTTCATTTTGTTGTGGTGTATGGGGACATGAACGATGTGAAACAATACCTTTGTTAAGTAGAAATGCTTGAAACTCATGAGACATGTATTTACTGCCATTGTCAGACCGTAAGATTTTAATGCAAAAGGAGAACTGAATTTCAACATATGCTAAAAATGTTTGGAATACAGTAAATAATTCTGCTTTGGAAAGTAAAAAATAGATCCAAATAAATCAACTGTAATCATCAATAAATGCCTCAAAATATTTGGATTGAGCATGTGAAATAACGGGTGTGATTTCCCAAACATCACTGCGGATAATGTCAAAACATTTATTGTCATAAGTGCCTGAAATAAGAAAAGGTAATGCCTTACTTTTTCTAAGTTTACAAACTGAACAGTGAACTACTAAACTCTTATCTCTAGAATAAAAAACATCACTTTTACGTAAATGCTTCAACATCATATCATTGGGATAACCTAGTCTTTTATGTCAGATGCTCGCATCATTCTCAATAACTGAAGATACTAATGAAATATTCCGAGGAGCAGTAAATTGTAATGGAAACAGTTTGCCCACTTTATGTCGCTTCGCTATTACCTTCCCCGGCACCTGATCCTGCACAATATAATCATCACGAGAAAAATGCACGTCACAGTTATTATCCACAATTTGACCAACAGAGAATAAGTTAGTAGATAATTTAGGAGAAAACAAGACATGTCTGAGGAGGAGTTAATATCACCAACTGTCATAATTAGAATATTATTTCCATTAGCAACTTGAATATGTTGAGTACCAGTGTACGATTGTTGGTTATGCAATAGATCAGTTGTGTCAGTCATATGATTTGTGGCGTCTGAATCAACAAATTAAGGAGAATGAACGAAAGTAATAATTTTACCTTTCCCTTGAAAGCCAATAGCAGAAAAGGCAGAGAGGATCATCTGTTGAACCACATCTGGTGTGACAGCTGATTGATTATTGTCAGTAACTGTGGATGTCGTGGCAGGATTGTGAGTGTCGGATATCGTGGCATGAAGTGTTTATGGTTTGCGGTTTTGGGGTCGTGTAGGGCACTCCATAAGAGAATGTCCATTTTGTTTGCAATAAGTACATGTCTTATTTTCACAATTTCGTGCAATATGACCAAATTTCTTGCAGTTGTTGCGTTGCACTGACCATGTCCCTTTGGTTTTAGCAGCATATGTCATGTTAATTATTTAATCCACCTGTTATACTGATAGTAGCTTATGTCGCTAATCTTTGCACTTTGCGTAGTAATTGTCCAAAGCAAACATTCAAACAAGGAACCAGATCTCTATTCAGCAACTCAGCTCGAGCAGTTTCAAATTCAAGTCTCACCTTCATTAAAAATTGATCACGACAACTTTCTTCATGAATAGCTTGAAGACTAGCTAAGTTCTCTTTTGCACCTTAGCATAGATAATACCAGTATATTCGCTCCATAAATTTAGAAAGCCAGAAAAATATTGTTCAATTGAAAGATTACCCTGACTATAATTACTCCTGTCAAGTTCCAATTGGAAACGTTTCGCAGAATTATCTTGATTGTAAACGTGCTTCAAGTATTCCCACATTTTATTAGCTGTTCCCAAAGATCGTAAATTGTTCACCATATGAGCCTCAACAGAGCCTAAAATCTAGGAAACAATCTGAACATCATTTTCTTCTCATTGACCAAGATCTTTTGCTTCAATAGGAGCTGGGGAAGATCCATCAATATGGCCCCAAAGCTCCTTCCCTTTTAGGAACATTCTGAGCTGAAATTCTTATGCGGCATAATTCTTTTCCGTAAATCTGATAGCTAAAATTTCAGAAGACATTTTAAATAGAAATGTCGCTAATCGAATTCAACCAAAAAAATCAAATAAAGCCAAGATATCTAAAAAACATTATCCAAATTGTTGATCTTAAATCAACGAGAAAAGGGCACAGTCGGAAAAGAATGATCGCAATGGAAAAGGGATCGCAACAGACGCGGATGAGCAGACGAACAGGAATCGCGAATGAGCAGACGCGGAAAAGGGAAAAGAACTCGTGAGACGAGCAGAAGGATCGTGGGAAAGCGGGACAAACAGATAGAACGCAACACTAACAGACAAATCGCGATAAAGTGGATCGCAGCAGCAAATAGACTCGAATCGTGGCAGAGAGGATCCGGCTTGGCAGAGAAGCAGCGGTTTTCCTGGGACTCCGACGAAGGTGGACGACCATGCTGCAGAACTCAAGCAAGGACAAGAACGAGTGCTCCCAGCGAGGAAGCGGTCGAAAATGCCGGTGAAAATAACAAAGAGATCGATCGAAGTCTAAGATCCGCTAGCGGCAGAACTCAAACAAAGCGTACAAAGATGCCGCAAAACTCAAACACAAGAACGAGCGCTCCGACGAGGAAGCAGCTGAACGATAGAAAAAACTAGAATTCCAAAGATTCAGACCGATGAAAGCTCTGATACCATGTCAATATTTCGAGCAAATAAACTAAATATTTTTTCCTTTGCTTTTATTTCAATAAATAATAGTCTGTACAATCTATTTTAGGTACATAATATTCTGTATAATCTATTTTAAGTAACTTAATGAATACATATTCCTAATCTAAATATTCAACTAAAAGGAAAGAATTCGTGCAAATATAATGTTTCCTTCTTTGCAGCATTGCGAAGAAGGAAACTCTTTATTCTACCTGATTTCATTTATTCCTTCTTGATAGGCATGTATGTAAATGCCACGGGAAAAAGAAAAAGTAAAGAGAGCATGAAAACAAGTATGCATGGAACAAAGTGCCACTTGGATGATAAGAGATAGGCAGATTACCTCTATTCCAGCACAATGCAAAGCTTTGACCATTTCTTTGAACTCTCGAGCTGCAGCCAAAGGTCCAGCTCCTGTGCTAGCATATCGGCTCATTGGCGCAAAAAAATTTATTGTGGAATACCCCCATGTGTTGATCTAGCAAATTAGCATAATGTTGAATAATCAAATCAAAATAGCAGTAAACATTAGACCACAGTGAAAGCCAATAAAGCTTTACCACCACTACTATATTGCAGCTGTCTGGAATTTGGATCCACAACACAAAATAAAAAATAATTCTAGGGAATAAAGGTTTTTTAGTAAAAAGCAATAATTACTATTTCTTTCATTTTAATTACCATGTGATCTCTAGGATTTGGACGCCTCTGAAATTCCAGCTCATCAAACTCAAAAACTGGCAACAATTCCACAGCATTAACACCAAGCTCCAACAAATGTGGGATCTAAAATGTTGAATAATATTTATTAATAATTATGAAATCCCAAAACGCCTAGATTCAAAAAACTAAATATTCATTAATAAAAGTTAGAGGTATTTACATACATACCACGAAATTCCTATGTATTTACAAATTTGACACTAGAACTTTTGACATTTATACCATCCAAATCTTTCATATAACATAAAAAATGCCACGATTTTAACTTTTAAAAACATGAATACTCCATTTCATGCACAGGTAAAGTGTCATATATGTAAAAATTGAAGTTTAAGTGTTAGATATGTAAATACATAGGAACTGAGTGGTATGTACGTAAATCTTTCTAAAAATTAATATCGGTGCAAAACATGTCTCTGAAAAAGTTAGAATTGCATCTCTATGTAAGATGTGCAAGCATAAACATACTTATGGCTCACATAGTACGTATTAAACGATTGACGTGACTTTCTATACCAATGATTCCAACAAAAAAACATAACCTTTGATATGAAAAAATAAGACATTTTACCAACTCATAAGCATTAAACATTATGGCGAATCACCTTAAACAAGTAGTGCTAAAACCTACTATCATGTCAAAATATTGATTCATAAATCTTCCATTAGCTTTCAATTCAAATTAAAAACAGTTCTTTCAATTGAAAAAAATCAAGCAGGCCCCTCATAATTTACAATTATTACACATAAAGAATAAACAGACCTTCTTTATAATACCCAGATAGCTGCCACGAATTTCTGGATCGAGCCCGCTTGACTCATCAGCCGAAAATGCGCGAACGTTCATTTCATATATAACTAGATCCGTCTGCATGATAATAAAAGAAGTTATAACTTACATAAGGAATCACTCCATTCTAAGCCTAACAGCCAAGCTAATGAATATACCTCGGGTATATCTGGAAGTTTGTAATCAGGACCCCAATCAAATGGTAAATTACGAAAATCGTAAGTACCAAGGAATTTAGACCTTCTTTCTTTGACATCTCCAAAAATTTTGCGACCCGAAACGAATTTTGCATATGGATCTAGAAGAATGTTATTAATGTCAAATCGATGACCTTGATCCCATCGATGAGGACCATCCACACGATATCCATAAAGCACCCCAAAATCAGGCAAACCCTGAAATTTAGCACCAAATTTATAAATGTTGTACTACAAAAAATATTAGTTTACAATGCGTAGACAAGATTAGCAAATTTAGGTCAAGCATCCAACCAACATTACTAAATTGAGTCCTTGATTAAAAAAGCACATAAAATCTAAACCAAGTAATACAAATAAATTAACTAATTTTACTTAATTGTTACTTGATCGGGAGCATGCGTACAATTCATGGGAAAAATATTAATTTCTTCCAAAGAAGAAAATGAAATAATTTGACAAATTAGCAATTTAATAAGACAAGCTAGTGAAAAGAACAATATCTCTACAATGCAAACCTCAACAAAGATATGCCATATGTCTCCAGTTTTGTTCATTTGAGGATCTAATGGAACTTCTATCATGCCTTCAGGCTGTTTCCCAACATCAACCCTATGAATAAAATAATAGAGAAGTTTCTCAGAAGGTTCTAAGTAGAATTTACAGTGAAGCTGATCAAAAACAATCTCACAAAAGTAAACTTGATAAAAGATCCAAAAACTTGACTTTAGCAAATACACTTAAGAAGACCACAATTATGAATCAGAAATAGTTCGTACTAAGCAGTATGGTTTCGGTGTTAACTCTCAATTTATGATCAGCTTTCATCAAAATCGACATCAACTTAGCAGGGCAAAATTTAAAAATTTTATGGGTGCAAATAAAAGAAGAGCAGCATAACCAAGTTATAGGTATCAATGGGTAGAGATTAGTATACCCATAAACCTTCGAGTGATCTAAAAACACATTCAAAAAAAGTAAACTTGATAAAAGATCCAAAAACTTGGCTTCAGCAAACACACTTAAGAAGAACACAATTATGAATCAGAAATAGTTCGTACTAAGCAGCAGGGTTTTCGGTGCTAACTCTCAATTTATGATCAGCTTTCATCCAAATCGACATCAACTTAGCAGAGCAAAATTTAAAAATTTTATGGGTGCAGATAAAAGAAGAGCAGAATAACCATGTTATAGGTATCAATGGGTAGAGATTATTATACATATAAACCTTCGAGTGATCTAAATTTAATACGTCACAATCGGATCATTTTATGAAGAAGTATATGTTTACAATATAAGTGATACCGGAACTAGTATGAAAAATAGTAAAAATACAAAAGTAAACTTTTATTAATAGAGGAATAGGGTCACAGCACAACACAACAGAAAATAACAATACAAACACTAACGATGCAAGCAAACATCTCTAAGGCGTATACCAAGGGCGGTAGAGATCTCCTAGGTGGAGATGGTTGGTAGGCATGTTGGTAGCAAAGGAATACTGATGGTAGTGAACGGGAGGTGAAGAATTGCAGGGACAACAAGTATAGAGGTCGCAGGTGACGCATGACACTCCCCTTGCTTCAGCGCGTCAAGTCGACCCAACTTGGAGCTAGCTGGTCCAACCATTCACGCTCGACCGAACCGATCCTCGAAATTAAAATGTCGATCAATCTGATTCGCTCGCCCTAATCCATCCCGCATTGCATGCTCCCCCCGTGCCTTAATCTTACGCCTCCTCCTAGCCATTGTTGCACATATTCCTCCTCTAGCCGTTGCAAACCTTCCATTTCTCACCTCTTTCCTTCTCAAGATCTTGCTTTGGCTAGCTTCCCTCGCTCTTTTATTTATGCATGTTCTTTTCTGATGTCTAAGCGATATTTTTTCCTTGTGATTTCTGATTTCAAGTGTTGTCCCTAGTGTTCCCTCTATTCGAGTGTTAAATCGTTCGGCAACGTGAAGCTACGGCTGTATCCCGCCAAGATGGTATGTATCACCACTCCATTCCACCTTCCAGTATCATTACCTCTCCACCTCTGCACATCCATGACTCCCCCAAGCGTTGTCTTTCATTCCCGCAGTGTCTCCTATTCACCACGAAACTTCCAATTACCAAGCAGTCCTCTACTAGGCGTAGCCCTCCCTCCTGCCCCCCTTACAGTTAGTACCCGGTAAGTCAGGATCTTCATCCCAACACCCCTCTTATCGCCGCAGGTCTCCCCGATGAACGTCCAATCGTTGTTGACTACTTCCCCGCCGCCTCATTAACTTCTCAGTTGCCCGTCGACGCTAGCGAGGGTTGTTTCTGATATGTTCTTAAGCATATTTCCTGCAATCACTATCTTGCTTTACTGTTTGTATGTTTGTTTTATTGTCTATGTATTCATGTGTGTTGTTTTTTGTGTTCTCACTAGTTAGAAAGCGTCTTTCTAACCGTCTTTAACAATTTCAGCAATAAAAATTAATCGTGTTTGAGTCGTTGTTTGGGTTAACTTCAGAATCATTAGGCGACGCGGATTGGTGGCTAGAAGGTACTGGACTACAAGAGCAACGGGAGAGGGGGTGAGGAGCAGTCGATTGGGAGGGCCTATATGATTGAAAAGCCAAGGAGGCTGACAAGTGTGGGGATGGGGCTGGAATGGTGGGACGGCAAGGGGAAACAGCTGTAGGAGGATAGGCGGAGTGTAGATGGTGGTCGAGGAGGTTGGACATCAAGGTTGATGGCTGTAAGGGAACGCAGTACATGTGTGGGGATGGGGCTGGAATGATGGGACGGCAATGGGAAACGACTGTAGGAGGATAGGCGGAGTGTAGATGGTGGTCGAGGAGGTTGGAAAACAGGGCTGACGGCTATGGGGAGTGGAGGAGAACGGTTAGTGAAGACGTCAAGCATCACCACCTCAAAGTAGGATACAGCCTGAGCACCGTCATCTCCTCAGATACAACCCACAAAGACGAAAAAGACTCCACACAAGATTTCTGAAAGCAAACACAACAAAAACTAAAGAAAACTCTAAGTTTAACACTTCTAATTTATAATGAGGACTAGGACATATTTTAGACAATGTTTAAAATAAGAGAGAAGAACAAAGATAATCAGAATTTCAGATTAGGAAAAATAAGCGAGGGGAATTCATATTTGGAAAGGAAAAAATTTCAAATTTCAGATTTCATATTTGGAAAAGACTTATAATAGGGAGGTGCTGGGAAGGAAAGAAAGAAAAGGAAAGGAAAGAGGGGAGGGAAAGGAGAGGAAGAAAAGAAAAGGGGAGTCAGCAGCCCTCCCCCCTTGAGGACAGCCGGTCTACCCAAGCTGGACCGAACCCTAGGTCTCCTCCCAAAAGCGCCGTGTCAAAAAGTTTATGACAAGTACATGATAAGTAAATGTTCACTACATAAAGTACATGGAAATTTCCATATCCTACCTCCACATATCATTAGCATGTATGTATCTTCTAAAGAGCTAAATTTTAAAATTTTCTCCAACATACTTGATACAAAAAAGAAGAACATGCATAGAGGACAATTCTTATGTATTTACATATCTCACACCTGAACTTTCATATTTGCACATAGCACTGTAATTTTTAATATCAGATCAAAAGTAATAACCACTTTTTTAAAGTGAAATACAGATTTTCATGCATAGGTTTAAAACACCAAAGTATGATGTATGTAAATATCAAAGTTTAGATGTGAGATATGTAAATACATAAAAATTTTGTGCAACGTATGTAAATTTCCCTAAAAAAAGAAAGAATACATGGGTAAAATGTGAGAAAATAGTACCTCCCAGAGATGGATAAGCAGAGAGTAACTGAAGATGCATGCCGAGAAAATAAAGCAAAATTGATTCCACGATCAACTACCGATGCCCCGAGTGGATGAGCCTCACCGGTAGAATATTTCAGTGGAAGATCATTCTCCAACATCTGAGAATCTTTGTCCTGGTACGGTAAAGAATTTCAGCCATTGCTATATTGAGAAAAATAATGAATCATTAAGATGAAAACATTGCATTAGAATACACCCCACAGATACATAATAATTAATGATGACTAAAACAAAAGAAAATGACATTAACTTGCATTAAGAAGAATTTTAAGCTCAAACCGATGATCGTGTATTAAGGAGGTTGGAATGTCCAATTCAATTTCCAATATAAAACAGATGACCAGAATCGAAAAGATGTCAATTGAATTTCTTAACACCAGTATTATCACCACCAAAATCAAATACAGATTCAATGATGGATTTTTGCTAAGTTTCATTATTGCAACTCCAACTATTACAATTTGATGTGATTGTAGCAAAAATTTGTCTTCCTATACTAGAGTAGTTCCTTAATATCTTCTACCAAAAAAAAAGGTTCATAATATTTCTCAATCTATATATAAAATGTAAAATAAGATGGCAAGTGATGCAGGATGGTTGAAGGCTAGGGTTTCTAGATGATATTAATATGGCATTGACGCGAGGGCTCAGGAGGCTGTACTAGCTTATCGCTTCAGATAGATGGACAAGGGCCTAGCCGCCCTTGGTTTAGTCAGTTGATTCAGCTAGATCGACAAGGGCTGACCGGCTCTTGGTCTAGGCTAGGTTGGCCTCCCAATAGGAGGGGTCTCCCCCTTATTAGTTATCTACAACTATAAATATGCTCTTCTGTTTCTTTAAGGTTACCTTTGTGCTATGAGATTTCTGTCAAGACAGCCTTCGGTTCCTCTTATCCCTTTTTAGAGTTGTATCGAACAGCAAGAAGGTGATTTTGTTGTAACTAGTTCAGAAGTTGGTGTGTATCCTTCACTTTATTGCTTGTTGTCGCTCCTCTCTGTCAGATGCCATCCCACCTATGCGCCTCCCTTTTTTGTCTTTGATGACGCCATCCCTCTTGCACACCAACCTACTGCGGTTGAGCCTTCCAAACACCACATCTGCTGCCGCAAGCCCCTCCTGCAGCAAAACCTACTGTCGAAAATCATCTAGTAGCCTAACCTGTTATAGCCAACCCCTCCAAGCACCCCTAGTTGTTGCCGCAACCCCCTCCTACCCTCTACCCCATTGTCGCAACTCCCTCGTAGCCCTTCAGCTCCTACAACCACCTCGCAATCCAAAACCTACCTACTGTCCAACAGTCATCCACCACCATCGCTGTCGCACTTGGGTGTCTTTTATGTTTGTGTTGTTTTTTCTATTTTCTATTGTGAAGAGTTGTTTGTAACCCTATTGAATTTTTGAAATAAAATTTACATTTCTATTGTGGTTTGGGTTCATTCTGGTATCATTTCGTATTAGAGTAAGTCTAACCCTAATCAAATCTTAGGATTTCCTAGCATCCGCCTTACCCAAACCACCCCCCACCAAAAATTTCCTAAGTCAAAGCGAAGAAAGGGATGAGGATCTAAATCTGTTCCATAAGGAAGACGTCAGTGGTTAAGAATATAGGCTCTGACACATTGAAATTCAGTATCAGAAGAGGGCGAGAGAGAAGACCACATATGGGTGACACAGGGATTTCGACATCAAAGTATATCTACCTGAATTCAATGAAGGTATGGATCCAAACGACTTTATCAACTGACTGAAAACTGTTGAGCGAATTTTCGAGTATAAAAAAGTGTCAAATAAAATACATGTAAAGCTAGCAGCCATCAAGTTTAAGAAGAGCATCTCCTTGTGGTAGGAAATCTTGTAGAGGCAAAGAAAGAGAGAATGCAGTGATAAGATTACCAAGGAAAGAAATGTCAAGGAAATACCTACCACCCCATTACTGTCGGGATATGTTTCTGAGGCTCCACACCTGCAACAGAGAGACTTATCGATATAGGAATTCATGATGCAGTTTAGCAACTACAAATGAAGTATGAGTAGGTTGTGCCAGAGAAACATACCATAGCCCTTTAACCGGGGGGCTTGAAGCCTGCTGTTAGCAATCTTATGCAACTACAGTTTTATTGGTTACTAGAATATATCCAAACATTAGCATTGAAGGTGGAAAGAAAACAAAAATAGAACATGAACAACCACCAGTCATGTAGCGACCCGCAATTGGAGACACCAGTAGGATCACGCCCCAGGGAGTTGTAAAAAATGGTTTGGATAAGGACAGTGCCACCCCAAGTAAGAATAAGTCTGAGACGTGAAACAAGCCTACTACAGTACCCGCCAATAAATACTTCAAATGACATGGATTTAGGCACACAGCCTCTAGCTGCCCGACGAGCCTGAGTTGTGTCTTTTACCGGCAGAGCGCAGTGGATAATGTTAGCAATGAGGAGGCAGCTGAGAAACATGATGAGGTGTATCATCTTCCACAGTTTAAGGCAAGATACTCATGATTCAACAGGTCTGAAAGATTGAGGATACGAGGGATGCGCAGTGTCTTCGCCACAATATATTCTACACTCGTTGCACTATGAACAGGAATGTATGTAGTACCATCATCGATGGAGACAGCAATAAGAGTGTGGCGTCTACGCGAATGGCAGAGAAATTTAGTCTCATAACTCAGAGACATTCTCAAACGTATTATATGTTGTGGCATAAGAAGAAGAACAGGCCAAACATTGATCGGAGGTGCCTAGTAGAGTTTTCGATTAGGAGTCAGCCGCAGAATCATATGTGGTGCGACATGGAACCCAAGGATGTCGGTCACCTTTTGTTTGGAAGACCATGGCAATTTGACTGTAGGACTCAGCACAACGGATTCAGAAATACCTACTTCACCAAAGAGGAGAAGCGCATCGTCCTTCTAGCTTTGGTGGAGCCCGAGATCACAGGTCCCATACCAGCAGAGTAGCATAAGTGGGACCGACTTTGGTGACGACTAAGACACCAATTTCAAACATGATACAATCATGACATAGAGCATGTCAGGACATCACGATCGACACCTTACCTCCATGACTACCATCATTTAACGAGGTTCAGGTTACCCTTACTTCATATCAGGTTGAGTTGATCTTAGATTACTTTGAGAGGATTCAACAATATATGCATGAGAGGCAAACCCAACTCAGCTCAGTATTGGACCCCCATAAGGGTGGATCTACATGGATGTATACTCACAAATGGAGAAAACACCTCTAGTATTTTGAGAGACAATGTAGTAGATAGTAGAATCCAAAAGCTCCTCGGGCAGAGGTCGACGATCCTTCAGCCCCGAGAAGTTCAACAGCTCCATCATCATCACATGAAGATAGAAGATTTGATGAATCAGGTCGAAGCTCCCCAAAACCAATGAGATTGATGTTGGGGCTAGGGGAACTGAACCACCTAACCAGTTCAACTAAATAGGCAAGGGCTAACCGGCCGTTGGTCTTGGCTAGGTTTGCACCCAAAGAGAGGGGACTCCCTCTCCTTAGTTATCTATTATTATAAATATGTTTATTTGTTTGTTTAGGGTTTATTTTTTCTTTGAAATTTCTGTCAAGATAGCCTCCTACATTCTTTTTCCCTTTCTAGGGTATCCGACGGTGAGAAGGAACTCTGGTTGTTACTCGTCCTGAGGTGGTGTGTCTTCTTTTATTGATTGTCATCACTCTCCCCTGCTATCTATCATCCTCCCCGTGTGCCATTTTTTCCTGTCTCTGTTGCCACCAGCCCTCCCACACCCCAACTTGCTGTCACTGACCCTTCCAGCTAGTACATCTACTGTCGTCAGCTCCTACACTAGAACCAGCTCCCGACAACCTTCCAGTAACCAAATTTGCTGCCACAAACCCCTCCAAACACCACACATACTGCCACCAATCCCTCCAAACACCGCAAACTACTGTTGTAACCCCCTCCTACCCTCTGCCCTGTTGCCGCAATACCCTCACAGCCTTCCAACTATTGCCACCACCTCCCAATCTAAAACCTATCTGATATCCAACCGCCATCTAGTTTGTGTTGTTTTTTCTATTGTCAAGTGTCCTTATTTGTAACATTATTGAATTTCAGTAATAATATTTTTATTTTTATTGTGGTTTGGATTAACTCCGGTCTCAGGAATATAGTATGACTAGAAGCAAAGAAAATTCAGGATTTATAAATCACAAAAGTCATCAAAATAATTCGACCACTTACTTTTTTTAAATGTAAATAGAAGATACAACAACCACAACCCAACCAATAATGAAATGATTAAAGTAATTTGAGAAACTTGAAAATAAAGCGACGAGCATAATTTTTAAAAGAAAAACCAGGTCTCACAACAAAGCAAACATCAAATTCCCCAAAATTATGTAATCAGACTTTATATTGCACACCAAGCCTTGCATACATAATAATTATTTATAGACACCTCATCCCATATATTAGTATATGTAGTTCACATACAGTCAACTAAAACCATTTTTAACTTAACTCCTAAAAGATAATTTTTTTTTAAATCCCAAACATCCCAGCTATTGTGAACAAACAACAATAATTCTATCCCATCGTAACATGAAGTGTGTACTGCCTGAAGGTTATAACTCTTGGTCAAAAGTACTGCAAAAGCACAACAACACAACACCGTGCATGTGAATGCATACTATACAAAACACCCTACAAAATACTAATTCGCATGAAAAGTCACAAATTCTTCGGGTAAACAGATATTATATGCAAATAATATTCTAAATTACATGGACCAAATGCATAAGGCGTAAACCTGCTTCAAACAGTTGAGGTCACTATTTTATGTCACTAAACACCTTGAACAAGTTCTTCATACCTCTAAAACACTACCTTCAACACCTTGCTTATACCCCTGTCTGATGTGTCGGTTGACAAGGTTGCTTTTCCTAACCTGTCCAAATTAAAATTCAAATGGTTTGAAAAGAAAATGCCGACAAAATAAATTGTTATGGTAGAAGAAGATTACACAAAGCACATGCCTTGCTAAATTTTTCATGAGATTTTGATGAGATTATAGCTCTACACACTCGCACTCTGCATCAACATTTGGGAAAAGTTAGTGCTTTTACAAATATTTTCTCTGAACAAATACGGATAAAAAAAATTTTAAACAAGATATGCCAATGTTGATGTTTAAAGCAAGATTAAACATCTACATAATAATTATGGGTCAGAATTCTAATGATTTTCAGACAAACCAAATCCTATTTTAAATTACAAATGAAAATGCTCATGCATGTTTATCAAACAATAGCATAGGAAAATGGCTGCTACGCATATAATGCCCCATGTGGCACAACCTTGGTGTCTCAATAACGGTTAAATTTAAAAAGGTTTCATGACTTGGGCAAGTCCTGTACAAGAAGAAATCCAATGGTAAGCCCCATTTTATGCTTATTAGTGTTTTAGTCAATTTAACTGTAATCAACAAATCAGATGAAACTTCCTATTAATGAAGAGGGACCTTTACATACAAAACACACAATTCTTATCTATTTACAAATCTCGCACATTAAACTTTCATATTTATACACACAGCACTCAAATATTTAACATCTATTCAAAAATGGAATTATTACCACCTTTTATGAGTGAAAAACACATTTTCATGCATAGTTTTAAAGCACCAATGTTCTATGTATGTAAATATGAAAGCTCGGGGTGAGATATGTAAATACATATTAACTATGTGCTAGGTATGGGGAATGCTGGCAGCATAGCATAAACTTCCTACACTCTGGGGATCATAAACCACACTTCGTTTGACTCTAACTTCCCTTTTTTCCAATTAACTTCAAAAGACCAAAAAAGCTTCGTAGTTACCATCGAAGAACAGCATGCTAGGGTTACTAAAAAGCTCTAATCAAAAAACCATCACACCAGTATATAGAAATACAGTAATTGTACTGCGAAAAGCCTGTTATACTAAGCCAATTCATCCTGCTGCACTAATAAAAGAGAAGCGAGGAAAAAGAATGAAACCCCATGCCGAGTTCGAACGGCGAGTTAGAACCGTGACGATCATTAATGCCAGTAAGGGTCGAGACGATGGAGTTCACTCCATGGCTTGGAAAGCAAAGCAACCCCATGGAAGGAAAACAGAAGAAGAGACCAAAGAGAGGCGAGGGGTCTGCTCCGGCTTCGAAAGGGACCTGTAGATGATTAACCTTTTAGCTCCGCGGTGGCGATCCCGTCACTGGTTCAGCCACCGACCAACGAGGAGGTGGAGGAGGAGAGAAAAACAAAGAGCAACCATTCGACTACTATTATGACCATGATTATTAAGGAAAGATAATCATATTTTGATAAATTCAGATAATTGTAAATTTAAAGTTTATTGCATACAGACCACCCGAGATTTGCTATTTACAAATAAATCTCCCTCTTTCATTCATTTTTTTAATTTGCACTCAAATAAAACCCCAACCCACAATTTTTAATTTTTATCAGATTTTCGGTTGTTCAAAAAATTTATCTAGATGGTTAATTTGTAAATATTAATGTTTCAAATGGTCCATCTGTAATCATCCCAGTTTTTAATATATTAAGTTTGATTAAATGAATTAAATAAGTAGAATTACTAACTCCATAATGTAAATTATGAAGATTAGAGGACCTTGAGATCTCTAAATATTTGAGGTATGAATTGAAGTAGAGGCTAAAGATTTAAAAATATAATTTATTTGGGTTATTATTTATGTATTTAACACCTGCATTTTATTTTTTTTTTACAATTATACCGCCAATTTTTTTCATGTCACATAAAAAATTGCCACTATTAAATTTAAAAAAAGAAATGCAACTTTTATAAGATGACATAAAAACAAAAAAAAAATTATGAAGTTAGATGTGTAAATAGAGAGATTTAGTGGTATGCATGTAAATCTTTCAATAGTTTCATGCCAAAATAATTAATGGCCGCATGTTTATTACTTCATGCTTTTTAAGAGATAACACTCTTTTCACTAGGAATAAGCCAATCATTCCCCATCAAGCTTCAGTTTGCTTTTAGCCCAAAAAACAAAATAATTATAATTATAATTTTCCAAAATAATAATAATAATAATAATAATAATAATAACTAAGGTCATAAACTGCACACATCTCGAATGGGCAGTGACTAAATTTTTACTTATTACCATAAATAAAAAAGAAACCAAATTAAATCAATCTGATTAAAAAACTATGGTAAAATATAACTGTCTATCACGAACAAAAAATCTCACATTTGCTAGATATAGAACTGAAAAACAGTATTTAAGTTCTGGACTGCGCAAGAGATCTTTTAGGAGGTAGCACACCACTCAAAAAAAAAGAAATAGATCTCGATTGGTGATCAAGTTTTCATGTTGGCTGTGTGAAAATATTAATCTTTATTTAGCAAAAATAAAATAATATTTTAGTTGATGAATGTGAAAGATATATTATAATATTCTCTCGTTGAAATAACAACTGAGTGTTAGCATTTACGAAAATACATACCACATAATTCTAATGCATTTACATATTTAACATTTAAACATTCCTATTTACATACATACTACTCAAATATTTATCATATATTGATTCCCTCATATTGGTTGAAAATCCGATGTGCTTGATTCTAATTCGAAGAGCTCGTGCCACGAGATTTGAACCTCCGACCCGAGGGACTTATGCCAGAGGCCGCACCAACGAGTCGGGTCTTTCTCACATGAAATTTTCATATATATATATATATATATATATAATGTAATTATGGGGATTTATCAAATTTTATGAAAAATGTAAATTTAACAACCAACAAACTATATAAAAAAATTTATTTTCAGACAGTCATTTCATCAAGCCATACTGCAGCTATACTTCATTTTTTGAAACTCCAGAAAAATAAAATAAAATGGGTAAATTCTTTCCAGCCATACGATTATATTTTAAAATTTTAATCATTAGGGATGAAAAAAATAATTGAGCAATGATTAAAATTACAGATTTAATAAAAAAAAAATCTCCTAAAAATAAATCAGCTATTGTGGGTAAATCAATATAGCTCGTAGTATCTATAACTGGAAAGTTTCAGCTAAGCATGAGAAGATTGATTAGGAGCACAACAAGATGAGATGTCAATACCAGCAACCTCCATAGCATTGCATACCCATAATGGAACATCGCCTTTAGGAAACTGCTTCTCCAAAAGCACACAAAATTATAGCAACAATTAGAGATATAACATCAGACTTTACGTAAAAAATAAAAAAGCTTAAATTTTCATAAAGTGCTAATTGGGAGCAGTTCTTTCAGGTTATATCTAATATTGCTTCAGAAATATAACTCGTAGGTTTTTATAGAATGAAACTTTTTTTTTTTTTTGGCAATTAGATACAAAGCCAAACTTTAAATAGTTTCAAGAAAGGGTACAGTTAACTGTTATTTTGAACTATTAAACAGCCTATAGCAACTGGGTTGCCTTCTGTTACCAATTACCCTAAGTCTACCTTACAGCCCTGCAAAGAGAAATAAGTTCAATAATGACAATAATAAACTGAATTGTATGTGTTTATAATGTAAATTTATAAATTACTAGTTTCAATTTATGAACGTGGCCTCAATTTCTTGAAGTCGAAGTCTCGGACTTCATTAGTTCAAAGGAGGTTAAATTGTGAAATCGGCCTTCAATAAGAAGTCACATTTGAGCATGACATCAGCATTTAACAAAATCAAACTCTGATGCATCGCTTGGATTTTCAATGACATAGTCATATAGGTGAAAATGAGAATCCTTGCTTGAAGATTTCACAATCACATCAATGGTTTTTATGAGAATAAGTGAAATGATAGCACTGATGAGACTTATAAAATTCATTGCCCATAAATAAGGCTTATGCTTCATTTTTTCTTTTTTTATCTTTGCACCCATTATTATTGTGCTTGTTCTTTTGCTTCTATGTTTCGTATGCCTTATCTTCTCCTCCTCCATTACCCTCCTTCAAAGCTCTTCCAATATAGTTGGCTCAATAATAAAAAGTTAAAAATGAAGAGGCATATCATTGTGGGGCCCATTTACTCAATTAAGGAGAAGAATAAAATACAAAATTCAAAGCAAGGATCCAAATTTTAGAGCAATAATTTCTATGATTTCACATCAGATTGATGATCTAATCATTCCTGATACAGTATTTTTTTAATCTCTACAGTGATCTGAGAATCACAGCAATCAATAATTCTCATGGAGAAATCAGACCATAAGGCTTCAATGAACACAGACTGATGCGAAAATTGTAGTAATAGTTGATATGAATAATTACCTATAAGATCTAATCCCATAATTGCCCATCAGGTCACAACATAAGCTTATGGCAGAAAATAGCATATGGTGCAAAAATAAAGACCATTTTGTCAAACACTCACAAAGGACAGCTCCTATTTTGACCATTTAAGGAAAAACGTACATCATATATAACATAACTCATTCATTGCTAGGACTTCTTGAATTTATATGTAACTGGTAATTAAGAATAATGGTGTCAAATAACAACTATTCAAGTCAAAGTATAAGCTAAGCTTGTAATCATCACAATTAAGACAAACCTGTGTGCGTAGAAATCCTTGCACGAACCTAACAAAAGATCACACAGCCAATAAAAAACCAATGTACAAATATATGTAGAAGAGAGCACCATTAGAAACTTCTAATTAAAACAAAAAGAGCATACTCTGGGAACCGGCCCTCTAGTATTGATGAGTGAAGATCCCGGCTTAGCTGCACGGCAAGATTAATTTTATCATACTGAAACAAAACGAACATAAGAAAATCTATGGCAAAGCTGAAAAAGAAATAATCACAGATATAAATATTTTAAGACAGTTGTTTCTAAAGGAAAACTATTTAAAATGAGCCAAACAGGATGACAATCTATCAAATGTGACATTGGGTGGATCAAACTGGTGTCGAATATAGCGGCATATGTAGCCCAAATTGACCTAATAACTTTGATCAGGGTTTCCTAAAAAAAATCCCCTTTTTTCATACCAACAAAATCCCACAGAAAAAAAAAAAAAAACGTCCCGGAGCTTTTTCCTCAATTAGTAATTGATACTCGTCAAGGAGAACTAAAAAATAGAAAAAACACCTTCCCAAGTATATAATTTATTCTCCCACATTAGAAACCAAGCAGAGCTGTAAGCTTGAGGAAGAAGGAAAAAATTATGCTTACCCTCATCATATATGAAAGATTGTGATATGATAGAAGCTGAGAACCCATGGGATATTTTGTTACGAGACAGTGAATGTAAGCTCGTGTATAATTCTTACATACCTGCAATGAAGTATGTCAAAAAAATAAAGGAAGATTTATCAATTCATATGTATTTACATATATAACACCTACCTATGCATGAAAAGTTGTACTTTACTTTTTAAAAGTTAAAATTGTAGTATTTTTTACGTGATACGAAAGATTTGGGTGTTATAAATATAAAAAGTTTAGGTGTTAGTATGTAAATATATAAGAATTGAGTGGTATGTCAGTAAATGCCCCAAAAGTAAAAAGATGACATGACAAAAATAGATATAATCTATTGTTAGAACGCTCACCATACAAATACATGTACTATCAATTGGACGCTCATCGCTGGCCATTGCCATGTGTGTTAACTTCAGTACACCCTGAAAAAATAAGCAATGGAATAGCTTATAAAGAGATCAAATTATTTCCCCTAATAGGATCAATATCTGGAAATATCTGACGCTGAGGATGAAATAGAAATTTCGGGCAATTACATACAAACCACCGGAAACTTGGTATTTACAAATCAACCAACCTCTTTCATCCATTTTTCAAATTCTCACTCAAATATCAAAATTCCTGGTAAATCCCCAACCCAATTTTTTCATATTTATTAAATTCTTAATAGTTTGATCGTGGCACGCATAAATACATCGGTTTGGTAGTATGAAAAAATCACATGGGTAATTAATTTGTAACTATCAATGTATGGGGTGGTCTGTATGTAATTATCCCTAGAAAATAAGGCATGACATGTTATGAAACTTATGCAGCATGCATTACAACAACAACACATTCCAAAGTTTGCAAATTGTGGAGACCAATTTTCAGTATAAATCCCCACTCTGAAAGTATAAAATAAATCCCTTGTCATTCGTTATGAATGCCACGACTTGAACACAACAATCAGGAAAAAGGCATCAAATCCCTTGGGAAGGATCAATTTTTTGCAACAATTGTGTCGAATTAACATACCCAAATGGATAATTTCTTACAATATATACTAATGGCAGAACAGTGTATATTTTTTTTATACTAGGAAACAACTTCCACATTTTCAGCCCAACCATCGTAAGAAGTGGATCAATTTCTTTGAGGAACGGTTACAATTTTCCAATGGTTTTGCTTGCATTAATGATTTAAATTGCAACCAACAGCTGATACAGGTCAACAGCTAAATTATATTCATTATATCACTTTTTCTATAGAAAATGTAGGTTATTCGCATGGTTTCATTTGAAAACCAGCATGCCACTAATTATCATTGCAGCAACCAATCAACTTTGGATGTTCTTAGATAATTTGCCAACTCCAAATCACTCTCTTTTTTATATATCATTGTTAACTTACAATTTTATAAGTCAACTTTAAAAAATTCTTGTATGCTTGATGTTAATTATTCAAAAAAAAAAAAAGAGAGAAAAGAGTTCACCTCAGGTATGAGTGCTGTGCCAAAGCGGGCAGTACGTGTAGGATAAACACAATCATACATGTCTGCACCTAAAGCGCTGCAAACCACAATATCAAGCGGATAACCAACACCCTGCAAAATAGCACAGATCTATTCTTAAGGCAGATATAGGCTTCAAGGACATCATGAAAAAGTTTATTCATTTTATTAAACCGTTTTCAGATTATAAAAAGAAAGAAATACATATATACCACTCAACTATTATGTATTTACATATGTAACATCTAAACTTCACTTTTTACATGTAAACCACCAATGCATTAAAAGATTTACTTCACAATTCAAAAGTTAAATAGTATTATTTTGCTGTGATATGAAAGATTTAAGTGGTATAAATGCAACAAGTAAAAACATAAGAATTGGGTGGTATGTATATAAATGCCCCTAATAAAAATGCATACCATCACATAACGAGGCTTATCCTCTGGAAGGGCAGCAGTGCATTGGGCAACAACACGCCAAAAGGAGTCTTTATCTTCTCCTCCTGCAAGACCGCCAATAGCATAGCTGTCAAGAAACCAATCAAAAACTGTTCCTCAGCTGTTCCAAATGAGTTCTGTGAACAACGATAAAACATTATCTTTTACCAATATTTTATGAGTGCAATAACGAAACGGCGAATAATCTGTAACATCATTATTTTCGCATTTTAAAATTAAAGGAAATTCACATACTTAGCACAAAATTCTTGTGTATTCACATATCTCACACCTAAACTTTCATATTTACATATCTAGCACAGATACAAGAGTTAACTAAAACTTGAAACAATGGAAGAAGATTTTATTAAGCAAATGAATAGGGTTACAATCACGACTCCAAAATAAAACGAGAACAACAACATCCGGCTAGGGTCGGGTGGGAAAATTCAAGGACAGTGGTCGTTTGGGTGTCGTGGTGGAGGGCTGCAAGGGGAGGAGAGCTCGGTGGGGGGGACAATTAGGTGTGAAAACAGGCGGCTGGATCTGCAAGGAGGGAAAGGCCGGGGACGGCGGCAACCCAGAAGTGTGGAGAATGGGAAGGGGAGTCGGAGAGGATAAACTCCACCTCAAATAAGGTACAGTCGGAGTACCATCTGTCCTCATATAAAGCCCTAGTAGGGGAGAAGACTTCTAGCAAAACTCTGAAATACAACACATACATAGCTCTAATTCAACAAACACATATATAGAAGAGGAATAAATGAAAAATGAAGAAGGAAGATGAATAATGATTGGGTAAATCCCGTGTAATAACCGGTTTTGAGAAAAGTGGGTAAAAATTTTTACAACTTTAAAATTTAACCTAAAATTCGCATTCCTCAGATTTCAGCCGAATCAATTTTATAAAATTTTATCTGTCAAAATGATCAATTCCATATATAATAAGATATGTGAATTATTACAAGATTGGAAGATTTAAAAAATTAGAAGTAATAAGTTTAACTAAACTTATTTAACCCTTAATTAACCCTCCCAAATCCCACTTTACTGTTTCCCACCAACTTACCTCGAGATTTTAACCCTTTGTATGCGTTGAATGGGGAGATCCTGATTCCAAAGCCCCTAATCTCTCTTTCCCCTCTCGGTTTTGCTCGCACGTCCCTCCCTCCCTGTTCGATCGGTCTTGGCAGAAGGTTCTAGCGAGAGTAGTGATCGCGACATTGTATCAGAGGCATGATCACAGCACAACCACGAGCCTTAGTTGCAATCCGCATCAAGCGAGCAGTCCGCCGAGTGCTGCAGCTCACGGTTTTGACAGGGGGCGAAATCGACAAGTGTGAAAACTCATTTTAGAGATATTTTCAACCTTCTTTTCCTGCCTCACATTTCCATCTTGAATATTACTACAAATTGTGCATCTTTTTCATTTATGGTCGTCGTAGTGGAGACGAGGTCGTGTCGAAAGCAAAGAAGTTGGTTTGTGGGTTTCCGTAAGGGCTTCTAACATGAAATCAATAAGATTAAGGGAGGAGTAAACAAAGATAGGAAGAGAGAAGAAGTTTTGGCAACTACAGTAAATTCGTTTAAGCTAATCAATTAAATTACCTTAAGAGCCAAGATATACTTACATTCTAAGTTATTAGAGATTTTAGGTTTTTTGCCCGAGGTAGTGAGTTCAAGCAAAGCGTGTGGAAGCTAGTTGTAGGACGGTTCCGTAAATGTAGATAAATTAATCTTAGCTAACTTAAGAAGAATAATTTGATTAACGAAAATTGTTTGAATCTTAAAGTTTGAGTTTTATTTTATATGTTACTAATATCCATATAAAATTTACCGTAACGTCCAGCTAGTTACCGAAGATTGAGAATCTAGCATCAACCGAGATGAGTAATTATATTGTTAAATTTCAGTAATCTTTTTTTTATTTTAAAACGTATGTTTGACTCCATGTATGCACTAGTTTGTTAAATTTTTCATATTGTTATATAGAAAAAATATGCACAACAAAAAAGATATACAACAAATGCATAAAAGATATATATGAGATGCATGATATGTATAATATACATGATATGCAAGATATGCATAATAGAAAAAAATGTATGATATAAGAGAAATGCATGAGATAAGAGATATGAATGATATGAAAGATATTGATGATATGAGAGATATGCAAGATGATTAGTTGCACAGTAGAATAAGTATGTGTGTTAGTAAATGCATGAAGATGTCTCAGAAGAATGTATGGTATGAAGGATAAAATAATATATATATGAATGCTTGTATGTGCATGTTCAGAGTTCACTCCTAATGATACAGGCAGAGGACTCAAACAAACCCGCGCGCGTAATTTTTCTACCACTCAAAATAATTGTGATGATAATGTCACTAATTGTTATACCGACGAGATAATTCAACCGGAGGCGAATAGACCAGAGCTTACCTCAAACAATTGTGATTTTTATATTGTCAGACGTTGTGTCGACAGGATTATATCGACCAGAGATAGGAAAGGGTCTTTCTATCATAAACAATTGTGATGTTTAGATTATTAACTGATGTTATGACATCATAATATTGGTCAGGGGTGTGTTAAATTTTGTTCACGAAATTATATCGACCAAAGCTAGGAAAATACTTTTTCACTCTAGACAATTGTGATGTTTAGATCATTAAGTGTTGTCCGACGGGATAATATCAATCGTGTGTTATATTTTGTTGACACTAATTCTCAAATAGACAAATGTGTATGTAAATAATAAAAAATAAAAGTAAAATTAAAGCAAATGCATATAGAAGATTTAAATATTTTCATTTAGAAATGTCACTGATATATGCAATAACATATATAACATTTCTTGATATACTATAAAATTTCTTATAGAGATAAGAAAGACCAGCATGCATATTGATATTTTTTCTTTGGGACTGTAGTTTAGAGGTGTTATTACTATTGGGTTATCTTAGATAATTCATTTTGGTTTAATATTTTTTTAAGTTTTAAGCTTTTGAACAAGATGAATAGAAGATAATTAAATGTATATAAAATGATAGAACAATCAGAAATGTACAAATTTCAAATTGTTAATTAAAATATTTTATTTAGTGACTCTTTCATGAATATTTGAATATTAAACTGTTATTGATAGAAATAGAGTAACAGAGAATCGATTTTTACCGTCCGACTATTTGTTCTAGTTTTGATTAATTCCAAGCAACAGGCAGAGTCGTGGCATCCCGCCCCTATGAAGGTCAATCAGTCCAGCAGGAGGTCGGCCATCTAGCAAGATGGTTCAGCCGACCTCCCAAAACCCTGTGTCAGCTACCTGGGGTTGGGGGAGCTTCGAGTCCTCGAAGTAGGATGTCAGTTCTGCGACATTGAATCTGATTGAAATGCTAGAGTCCCCTGACAGATCGATCTTGAATGCATTGTCATTCAGCTTCCAAAATAATCTTAAAAATTCATCTACTCTAGGCTTAAGTTTCTCAAATGCTCCCACTGGAAATCTCTTCTTCAGCCGAATCCATATGAGGTCGCCTTCTTGAAACATAACCTTATTCTTGGACTTATTTGTTTACGCCTGATATGTGTGGTTCTGCTTAGTAATCTCTTTTCCAACCTCCTCATGAAGTTTCTGAATCTCGTGAACCATTCTTCAGCATCCTTACTAACCTCTAATGTCTGCAAGAGTGGTACCAACTCAAGTGGCTTGAGCAAGTTGCGCCCGTACACAATCTCAAATTGAACTTATTTGTTTATCGTCGGATTTGTATTCGATTGACAACCGATGCAAATTATTTTCGTCATAAAATTTTGACATAAATTAGACGAAAATAACATTACAGACTAATTAACGGCAAAAAAAAAAACTGATGTAAATCAAACAAAAATCCATCAAACAAAAATCCAGCGATAACCCTTAAATATCATTGGTTTTGCGTCTGATCTAACCATCGCAAATATGTTTAATACTTGTAGTATGGGTTCAACATTGATTGTCACAAAAGTTAACATATTCAGAAAATTACATATACACAAACAGATGTAAAATTAACATATAGATATATGCTTGTTCACCAAAGAAAAGTATGATGATATCTAGCTTCGTCCTGAAGTCTATTCAGTCATGGAGAATAAATTTGTCAACAAAAAGCTAAAAAAGAAGACAATTGAAGCTACAGAGGCATGATCGACACAATTTAATCTAGCGTTGACTTATAAACCTGTCTGCACAAAAAAATTGAAAAATCATAAAAAAAAATGGTTGAATAAAGCAGGTAAACAAACAGTTGCTAGAAGGGTCGCAGTTTTGAAGAAGTTCCTGATAGCCAAATATCAATTTACTTAGCATTACTTGGATGCAACTATTCAGCTAGCCAATATAGACGGCAACAAACAGATTAAATCTAAAAAAATACAAGTTAGTGATATAGGTAGCAGTTGTCCTTTTATACAAAGCCATCACAAATTATGGATCTGAATTAATAGTCACATTCCGTGTGAGACTATAGTACACAATGCAACTATAAAGAATTTAGACGAGAACTTCAAGAATATAATCTACCTTTTACATTCCACCCCCATTTTGATATTACTAAGAAATTTCATCATTTTGTGCAAAATTTGACGTTCAAACATTGACAAATCCAATAAGGCCATTGAAAAACGACCAATAATATAAGCAAAATACAAGAGCAAAATGAATAGTATATCATACCCAGGTAAATTGCGGCTAACAAGGCCCTTCACACATGTATCTCTGGAAATTTCAGTTCATTAGTACAAGTGAAACAAAAAACCGGAGTCCTGAAATCTCATTAAAACTTCCCAATAATTTTTAGCATATTAAATTCATTCAATCACTGTTAACATCCGAGATAATTAAAATTTACCTGAGAGTCGGATCAAGTCCTCCTTGTACAATACCGAATAAGTTTTGCACTTCAGGTCTTTTATGAGCTGCATTTCGTGCATGCCAAATAGACAAAAAGGTCATCAATAAAACACTATCAATAGAGAATGTCATTGCACTACATCTCCCCTCATCAAAATAGATTTAATAGTTCATAACTGAAAAGTTTGAAAAAAAAAGAAATGGCACCACAAATGAAAACATAACTTTTCATCTAATAGTAATTTTTAATTAAACTAAAATCGAACAATTAAAAATATATCACTAACCAAAAAAATTTTGTAAGTGACCATACCCGCAATGCATCTGTCAATCCAACGAAGAGTTCGATTCATAGCCTCCTCAATTCTAGGGCCAGTGATTGTGGTCCTTACAACATCATCAAGAGCCATTATGATATCAGCTCCAATTTTGTTCTGCATGAAAACAAATAGCAAAATAAAATATAGCCAATGAAATGCTACTCACACTGTCTAATTCGACTTGCTAAGAGAATTACCTGTCTGGCCATTGGACTAATGATTCTGGTAAAACTTGAATTTTAAAAAAATGAGCGATAAGTTCAGATTGGAGTCTTAGCAACTTCAAGTTCACAAAAGAAAGAAACCTGAGGTGCATGGAAGTAATTATATTATTAGCCTTATCCCAGCTATTTGAGGTTAGCTTTATGAATCCTCACTTTTCATTTATTCTAGTAAATCTCCTTTTAGGGGTAAAACAAATTCTTCGTGATTCATTTTGCATAACTTCTATCCCTATAACCTTGAGTTTATCACTTCTCCATCCTAATTCACTAATACCTGATTTTACCTACTTCATGTAATAAACACACTTTTACCCTTCATAATACATATACAAATCACCTAAATTTATTTTTTATTATATTCCCTTCAATATATGTCACTCCAAATGTCCCTTCAATATAATCATTCCTTAATTTATCATTTTCTAGTACTCCTTGCATAAATCATGAAATTATCATTTTTATGATGGTCAAATTAGGAGTGAATGATTTTTTTACCACCAAACATTCAAATACTTGTAACATCATAAACAACCAAATTCCAGATTTTTAAAATTTATCTTTAATTCTATAAAGTATCCCCTAAGGTATCCTCTTAACATACAAAACTATCATGGCATATTTATAATTTAATCGTCAAATCTTAATTATTTAATTACATGATTATTGAAATCTTCATTCTCCAATAATACTAGATCTAAATTACTTAAACATATTAATATGTGTGTGTGTGTGTGTGTGTGATTTGGTAGCTCCATTTTGTTCTCATTTTTGAAAGTATGTGATTCCTATTGAAAGACCATAAATTATTGTAAAATCAAGTATGGTATCTATGATTGCCAGAGATGTGAGCCAAGCAGGCCAATGAACCGGCTCAAGCATGGCTAGAAGCTCTATAAGCTAACAAGTCAGCCCTGACTTAACTTGTTAGCTGATGAACTAGCTCGTTTCAAAAAATATTAACATAAAATATACCTAAATTATATTAATTTTCAATAATTTATCTTTAAATTATTAAAAATATTTTAAAATGATATTTTACATTATATATCAAGTTATTTATTATTATTTATCTCTTAATTGTTCATTCTATTTATCATTTTATTATAATACTAGCTTTAATTAATATTATTTTCTCTCTTTTATAATAAACAAGCTGAGGGTGGTTTGAGCTCAACTTGACTCGACTCGACTCGTTTACACTCCTATTGATTATACTCTGACATACCAGTTCATAACTACAATAAATTATCTCATAGCAATCCTACGAAAACCTATATGCCCATTTAAACTTCCAATAATAAATATCATTTATTCATCAGGTATACATTGATTATGTTCGATAATTCATCAGTTTCTTCCAAAAAAAAAAAGATCTCATCATCTACTAATCCAACTTGAGCAAAAATATTGACCGGATCCATAATGTAAAAATTATCTAAATAGAAAATCACACTATAGCTAACTCCATTCACCTCGACAAATTTATCTTTCAATTCTTATCTCAACTATATTTTTATTGTTAATCTTTTCAATATATGATAGCTTATAATCTTTCCAAATACCCTTTGATTTTTCATCATTCCATTAAGTTTATTGTAAGCACCCAATTTTACTCTTCTTCTAGTTATTATGTCAGTCAATTCTCCAGCATTCTCATTCAACATCTTGAAATTTAATATAGTAAATTGAATCTTAGATTTAGAACAAGTCTAACTTAGCTTACTTCCCACCGCAATCAGCTAAAGTTGCAGTGTGTAAGTATGGGTGACGTTCAAGTCCACCCTTGCCTGCAACTTGGAATCATTATAATGGTTTTTAGATGACCTGCTCCCAATTTAACATCAACACTCAATATTCTCATCCAGGCTACAGCCAAACAATCACGGTTATCAAAGCACAAAAACAAAACTTAAAATGATAATAATAATTGAAAAAAAAAAAAGATGATGCAAAATAAAAAACAAGCTGTTAACCAATGAGTAAAATAACAGCATGGCAATGGTTGTTGAAACAGATGTGATACTCACTCATACACCTTTTGAAGAAGCATTCCAAAAGAGAAATGGATCATGGTCCTAGAAACTTTTCGATCATCCTACATAAAATTTATCATGGTACTCATACACCCTTCAAAGATCAATAATTACAAAGATCACTTGTTTCTCTTCCATTTTCTCATTACTCACATTAAAATAAAAAAATATACATATCCTATATATTTTATCTTCTAAGAAAAATACAATACTAGTTATCCTAGACCAATGAACCTAAACCCATTTTCCACTACACTCGCGCGTAACTGCACAAATTTCATATCAAGATTTAGAAATAAAAAATTCAGCTTCTAATTTCTGATGTAACGCTCTAGCATTATTCACAACTTACAAAATGTTGTTATTAGAGCCGATACTTCAAAACAAAAAATAAGAAAAAAATGATGACATGTTGTTGACTTTATTTTTAGCGAGGTCTAGTTTTCTTATTAAGGTTTAGGGTCTAGTCTTAGGATTTTCTCTTTGACTATCCTAGAGCCTTAGAAATGGGACCCGCCTCATTTTAGAAATTCAACATACTTCTTTACTCTTTTAGAGTTTCGCATGTGTGGTATTGGTCTCTAGCACTTGAGATGTTGAAAACCAACATGAGGAAACCCAAAAGAAATTCCTATAGGACCATTAAGCACTAGGATTGACTTTTTCACATTTTGCACCTCTGGGCACAAACTTCGCGATTCAGATAGTTGACACGTTTGATCACTACAATTCACATCGCCTGCACCGTTATTTGTCAAAAGCTTAAATAAAATTTTTAAAACGATCGATGGGAGACTCAAAATTTTACTAAAATCAAATTCGACGCATTTTTGACTCGATTGTCGACAAAGTTGTCTGGACAACTCCGGATAATGAAACGGACCGCACCGACGCATCCGGAACGTCAATTTTAGCTATGAAGAACACCCATTTTGTTAAGACGTCCAGCACGAATAAGTTGCACGAAATTTGATGTTTTAAAATAAATAGAACAAAAACCTAATTAAATCCATAATCCCTAAACCTACGCTCACGCCTCTCCTTTCTGTCCACAAACCAAGCCAATTCTTGCCATTTTCTCTCTCGGTCGCGAACCGAGCCAGACCGAGTCTCTTCCTCGCGAACGATCGGCCCGAGGTCCCCTCTCCCCGTGCTTTACAAAGCTTCCGCCTACCCTCGCCACGCTTCGGCTTTCTGCTTGCCTCTCCTAATCCTCTGCGATTCTTGTCGCTTCGGCCCCGTCCCTGTTGTGCTCGGTTCACCGCCCAGGTGAGTCGATGGAATGTAACTCCTCTGGCTATAAAATCCCCACCTTAGGGAGGATTTCAGGGCTGAAATTTTTGGTGCCTTGAGGAGGATCTGTCGGATTCGTCACTGATTTCCTTTCCTTGGAGCTAATGTTTTTTTTTTTTTTTTGGTTTGCAGCAAGTGAGGTAATTCTGTCATTTCCTCCTTCGTTCATTGCCAGATTTCTCTAACTTTTTTTTTAGTCGAACAAAAAGTTGCATTTGTTTGTTTGGAAACCACTTGTTGCTATATTATTTCTTTTTTCGGAATTCATAAAAAAGAGCCATTTACTTTAATCGTATTGCTGCACCTCTAAAATCTGCATGAGTGATCTATACAAAACTGCTGAAATCAGTAGAAGCTAAAATCATGCCTACAAATGCATTATTATGGTCTCTCATTGAAAAGTACTACATAACAGAGGCTTGTATTCGTTTCGGTACCCTTAAATATGGGATGTTAGCACCATTTAAACTTTTTTTTACCACTAAAAAACAAGTTTTATCAAGTTTTTTTGGTGTGTTCCGATCAGGCCTTTGGTCTTAAAATTCTTTTCTCATGCTTTTCATGTGTTCTGGAAATGTCACTATTTAGGAGCTTTGAGTTGAATCATGCCTTACTTCATTTTTTTTTTACTTCCATGTCTTGGATTGATTTCAGTATATTATGCATTCATGGATCAGTTTTTGAATTATATTTCTTACTATTTAAATCCTGTATAATGGTGGCAGTTCCTTCATCTTGTAATACATAAGCGTGTTTAATGTGAGGTTTGTTGCATAAGGCTGGGTGTTTCTCTTGACAGAGATACCCTTGCTGGCTTCACTTCAGGAGATAGATTTGAGAGTATAGGAAATATGTGGTTGGCTCTTTACCTCCAGGGAGAGAGGAACACAAAGATGCCGTAACAAGGAAACCTTTCTATATTGATCGTAACGCACAAACTTCTATTTATTTACACATGTGCAACGCAATTCTCTTGCATTTCCATACCAAAGCACAAAATAGTATCTAATGCCTGAACTTTGAAACTTGTATATGAGATTGTTTAATGCTCACATATTCACATATATAACATCTAAACTTTGAAAGCAAGTGTACAGATTTTGCAATTCATCAAGTATTTACATGTCTAGCATTTCTACCTTTCCTTTTACATTTATGCCACCCGATCTTCTATATCACATTAAAATTATCGAGTTGTATGTGAATAAATTCAGATTATGTGGTATGCATGTAAATTTCCTCTAATTCATTTCATTGCTAGCTCCATGTATTTTATTGGAATGGATACTTTTGATGTTTTGATTTATTACAAAATACATATGGCATTGCCTGTGGGGGAAATCCCTATGCAATAATTCATGAAAGTCGGGATGCTTCACGATGCTTAGATATTAATATATATATATACATATACTTGTTTTTGAAATTCATACTTGTAGCACAGTCTACTTATCAGTTTTAGCTTGCATATGCTCATTGTTTTAAGATAGATCCAGATATTGTTAAATGGGCTCAACATTCATTGATTTGGAAAACCTTTAAAACACTGATTTTTGGATTGGTTTGTGTTGTTTGGAAGGTCTTAAATGCCCTATTTTGGGACTGATTTGATCATTATTTTGAAAGAATTTAAATGTCTTTAGGCCGATTCACTTGTGGTTTTGCCCCTTGGTTGATTTTTCTTTTAGAAGTGGGTCAGCCTCCTTCTCCTTTGATTTGTTTTTGTTATCATGGTTAAGTCAAAAATGAGAATTTCTGATTTAATTATTTGGAAAACACTTAAAAAATATTTGAGAATTAATTGGAAAACACTTCATTGAAAGCAAAACACCTTAAATCACTTCAAGCACAAGTTAGAGGCATAAGCTTCCTAGATTTTAGAAGCACACCCTAGGTGAGAATTCATCTACTTAATTTTCAAATGAATGATGAAATTAAGCACTTGACATCATTCCACAAGTCGATTAAAATACTAAGCATAAGGATACACGAAGATGTGGTTCATAACTTCTTTTTAATTAAATCAAGTATTGAAATTCCCGCCATGATTTAACCTACAGTGAAACACAATGCTCTGGGATCTGAGCTTGAGTCTTATACTCAAATCCTCCTGGCAATTGGAGACATTCTTAATGTCACATATAAGTCACATACTCCTGGTTCATTATACGTGGCATCATGTTTTGTTTTACTCATTTTTTTATACCGGACTTTCTAGCAATTTGTTTAAGTTTCCTGCAATTTGCCGTTCTTTTTATTGAAATATTTACTTTAATGCACTTGCTAAACTCCTTGGGTAGAAAACCGTAAGACATTCTAGGAGGTACACCGGGCCCTTAAGACCCAACAATAATTATACTTGCAAATATAACACATAAACTAAACCTGAAAGTGCTACGACGTGGAGCTTGGAGCTTGAACAAGTCTTCTTGGGCAACAAAACGGAGAAGCAGCAGGTGGAGGATGACAATCTACAACAACAAACATTTTTCTTAGAATTAAATAACAAGTCATAGGACTTCGAGGTAGTTTGTCTAGTGCGATATAAATTCTCACTTTATCTTTTAGGTCTTTGCACAGTCAGTTTGTGTAATCTAACCCCTAACTCGCTTTAGGTTCCGAGGTTGTCGTCCGATACGACGTAAACCCCATATCTTCCAGGTCATTTATATGACCGTGTCATACAAATATAAACTCTAAATAATAAAACTGGCAAGATAAAACATCAAATAACATCTTCTCAAAATTGAAGCCAAACAATAAAATAGTTTGGGAAGTCACTGAGGTTTCCCTCAGGATCCGTGACATCCCGTATTTTTCTTTCCTCTGACTTCAGAAATAAATGTTCTCATTTGGTCTCTTTCCCCACTTGACTTTTCTATGTCTAATCTTGAAAATCCTAAATTTTGAATTCATGAAGATTGATACATCTAATCATCATCGAGAGTTCTCTTAAGTGACTTCAGTCATTTGAGAGGTAATTAACTATAGGGGTTTGTCTCTATAAGAAGCTTTAAGAACCTAGGTAATATAAACTATATCTAATTCTTAATATTAAGTATGGAATTTGTCAGTCAAAATAAAAGGTTTGCAGGCTAAAACGGATCTCATAAATTATTTAGTTTATTTAATCAAGCACCACCAGCAAGTTGTGTATCTATCTTTCGAGGCAGATATATTGCTTGCAGTTGTGCTCGATCATTTAAACTATTGCAGATATGAGATCGGTTCGGTCTTGTATTTTCAAAAAATAAAATATTATTTTTTCTAAATTATATATATAAATTAAATTAAACAACTTTTAAAACTGGGCGTCAGGATATCCATTCCGGCGGCCAAAAATTTTCAAATTTTTTAAACAACCGACACATGCACAATGAAATACATTTTTTTCCCATGGAATCCAAATAAATTGTAAAGCATACAATAATTTGAAGAGCATTAACAAAGGGAGTTTTGCAAAGGTTTAAATGCATGAGGATTCAGCTAAGCGACTCAAAACGTATTCCAAAACAGAAACGGATAAGCATCCTGGAAAACTTTTTGATAATCCTACATAAAATTTATCATGTTACCCATTCATGCACCCTTTGAAGATCAAAAAACACAAAGATCACTAGTTTCTCTTTTTTTTTTCTCGTTATTTGCATTAAAAGAAAAAAAATCTCCTGTAGATTTATCTTCTTAGAATAAAACTCCATCAATATGCTATACCAATGAACCTAAACCAATATTCCATTACACTAGCTCATAACAATGCAGATTTCATATCAAGGTTTAGCATACGCCAAAAAAACATCAGCTTCAAATGCTCTAATGTAACGCCCTAAATGATTAACTTACAAAATGCTGCTGTTAGAGCCGAAAGTTAAAACCAAAAAAATAAAAGTAAGGCGACAAACACAATGAAATACATTTTTTCTTCCCAAGGAATCCAAAATTTAAGCAACTAAAGCATCATAAAGTGTTACCTGGATTCGGATTGATTCTTCTGGAGTTAATAGCATAGGCTTCCCATCAGTAGGAGACTAGCACAATAAGCATAAAAACTAAGGGTTACAAAGGAAAGCAAGAATCGGCAGAAAATCAGAAAGTTTTACCACTTTGCAAAAAAAAAAAAAAAATAGTAGGAAAGTGAATTCACAGTTTATTAATTTATAACTCCTTAGAAATGCATTAGTTACCAGTAGCACTAAGAAACATTAGGCGCCTCAGCATATATCTGCATGGCACTACTAAGATGAGATTACAGTTCTAGGAGTTATGCTAGTCTACTTTTGTAGAAAACCATTCGTTGATAGCCAAAAAAAAAAATTCGTGTATTAAATATTCAACATCGCAAGTCACTAAATATTATGACAACAAAGAGTAAATAAGGCATATCAGGTTAGTATTTACTCATTTAAGTCGATAATGAAAACATATAAAATGATTGAAGAAGACTTTCTGGTAGCCTGGGAAGTATAAAGTAAAGGATGAGTCAATAACAACTTCAGCTTTTGCATTCTAAGATTTTCATAAAGGCTTCTTCCAGAAGACTTCACATTATAGCTAAGAAGTTGGAAGAGGAAAGGTGTGTTCATTGGTGTGTGCAAAAGAGAGAAAATTGAGAGTACCTGAAACGTAACTCCCTCTTCAGTAATGTCAGCCAAATGCAACAGGGAAACCTACGCAGAGAAAGAAAAATGCAATATCACAACATGGTTGCAATCGCAGTCGATCTTTCCAGCACACACAAACGGTTAGAAAAATCTTTTGGAAGATTTACATGCACAACACTCAATTCTTATGTGTTTACATATTTAGCACCTAAACTTCAATTTTTACATATGTTATCTTACCTATGCATGAAAGAATGTATTTCACCTTTTAAAATTTAAAATAGTAGTATTTTTATGTGATAATGTACAAAAGCAAAGTTTAGGTGTTAGATATGTAAAAATATTAAAATTAGCCGGTATGTATGTAAATGCAAATTGTTTACAGCAAGAATTGTGTAAGAACTAAGAACTGGTAATTTACAACTTTCTGCAAAATTCAAGTGCATTCTATTTATTGGTACGGGAGGGAGCCTCAAACTATAAGCACTGACTGCAATAGTAAGCGGTTACCACAAATGTTCCTAATCTCTAGAAATATTTAATCAAATCTTAAAAAAAGAAAACCTTGTAAAGCAAATAAAGATTAAAAAAACTACAAATTGCTAACACTGTAAAGGAACAAAACAGCGCAAAAATTGCAGTTTAGCAACTTCAAGTGGAGATCGAAGAGTTATAGAAGTAATACAATTGCAACCAATAAAATATATCAGTCACAGTCAAATAAAAGAAAATATACATACATTCTACACAATTCTTATGTCTTTATATATCTAACACCCAAAGTATCATTTTTTACATTTATAACATCCTTGTGTCATAAGCCTACGCATGAAAAGCTGTCTTTCACTTTTAATAAGATAGTGATAGTGGAATTTTTGATGTGGTGCTAAAAAATTGAGTCGTATGTGTGTAAATAGAATGTTGAGGTGTTACATATGTAAATATACAAGAATTGTGTGGCACTTCCGTAGATGTCCCTTGAATAAAATGTGCAACAAACCAAAAAAAATATAACAATCACCTATTTTAGAAGAGTCAATTACTTCAAGCAGGCAAGATTAAAACTCAACATGCAATTACCAAATTCCACAATCCAAAAAACAAAAGTAGCAACTATAAAAACAAACTTCAACCTCCAACACGAGTCAAGCATCCATGATGTAACTGCTCATAGGCTAACAAATAATTCTCAAGAAAAAAAGATAACTTCTAATATAATGTGCCTTAGCGAATTAGATGTTAAAAACCTAGATGATAATGATTGAGTGTGCACTAAAAATGGATAAACTAGAAAATAAAAAATTAGTGAATAAGAACATCATATATCAGAAAGTATACTTGACCTATTTGTCCAAAATAAATCATTTATAAAAACCTTAGTTCTGAAATTTGGATGCTTAAATATTTACCTTCTCTGTGAATTACCATCAATATGAAATTGTATAGTCTAATGAGCGCTTTCACATCATTAAATCCAATACACTTCGGTTTTGTGTACTTTCAAGAACCCAAAAAAAGCTATGGTTGATTACTAACAAAATATAAATTTGGCATATTTGCAGATAAGCCCATTGTTTTTTAAGAAAGTAGATCATCGCTATTTCCCTAATAGGAAATTAGATTCATTTGACAATTTAGTGAATTTTATTGCTTTTTAATTTTTTTTTTTTGCAAAAAGAACTACAATATTGTCTCTACCCAATTAAATTTTACTCCTCATTTGCTCATCCTTCGAAAGCTCATCAACATCCCAAGCACCCTCTCCCTCCACTATAACAAGAAGCAGAACAAGCAAGGAGCGACAAAATATTACAACAAACTTGTATATTTTTGCCTAAAAAAAAACCTAATGGCAAATAAATAAGTTTTAAAATTTTTGAAAAAGACCAACATGCCTACCACATAAAAAACTAGGAATCAACTATGGGAATCTTCTAAAAAAAATGAAGGTGGCAACACGAGGCAAAAAAGAGGGATCAATAATTAGTAATTTGTATTAAACACCATTGAACCAGAACATATATATCAAGATCAACCTACAGATCTAACCACAGTGAACCTTAACCACCCCGGCGTGGGCCGTGCACGGTGTGCTGCCATGGCCGGTGCCGTATCAGCGCTCTTCCTACTCGACATCAAAGGCCTCATTCTCGTCTGGCACGGCTACCGCAGAGAAGTATCCGCTGTCCAGGCCGAGCGGTTCTTTACAAAGCTTATTGAAAAGGAGGTGGATTCGGATTCGCACGATTCGGTGGTGTACGATAATGGAGTGACCTACATGTTCATCCAGCACAATAATGTTTTCTTGATGACTGCTGCGAGGCATACCTGTAATGCTGCGAGCATAATTCTCTTTTTACATCGAGTTATTGATGTTTTCAAGCACTATTATGAAGAGCTAGAGGAGGAATCATTGAGAGATAGTTTTGTTTCAGTTTATGAATTACTTGATGACATGATGGACTTCGGATACCCTCAATATACAGAAGCTAAAATTCTTAGTAAGTTTATAAAGACAGATGCTTACAGGATGGAGTGTCTTGGCGTAGTGAAGGGATAAAGTACAAGAAAAATGAAGTTTTACTGGATGTTGTGGAGAGTGTGAATATTCTTGTCAACAGCAATGGACAAATCATTCGTTCAGATGTTGTTGGAGCATTGAAAATGAGAACATATTTAAGTGGAATGCCGGAATGTAAGCATGGTTTGAATGACAGAGTTCTTTTGGAGGCTCAAGGTCGATCATCAAAGGGAAAGGCCATAGATCTGGATGATATCAAGTTCCACCAGTGTGTGCGTTTGGCTCATTTTGAGAATGACAGAACCATATCCTTTCATACCACCTGATGGCTCTTTTGATCTGATTCCCTATAGATTAAGCACACAGGTGAAGCCTTTAATTTGGGTAGAAGCTCGAGTTGAAAGATATTCAAGAAGCCGTATTGAACTGATGGTGAAGGCAAGAAGCCAATTTAAGGAAAGAAGCACTGCAACAAATGTTGAGAATGAGATACCTGTGCCGTCGGATGCCACTAACCCAAATGTAAGGACTTCCATGGGTTCGGCTGCATATGCACCAGAAAAGGATGCACTGCTTTGGAAAATAAAATCTTTTCCTGGTGCGAAGGAATATATGGTGAGGGCAGAATTCAATCTACCCAATATAACGGCAGAAGAACTAACACCAGAGAAGAAGGCTCCAATACGTGTTAAATTTGAGATCCCATACATCACTGAATCTGGAATTCAGGTGAGATACCTGAAAATCATTGAGAAGACTGGCTATCAGGCCCTTCCATGGGTTAGGTACATTACAATGGCTGGTGAAGATGAATTAAGGCTCATGTAAGTAGTTCACTTTCACCCCCTCAGTAACGTACGAATTGTTGCCAGAAATGGATCTCTTATTATAAACTATGGCCTTACTGGTTATTTGTAATGTTATACCTTATTAACCTGTAAGGGCACTGCAGATGACTGTGATCATTAGGTTTTTTTTTTTCGGTTAATGTGCCAAATTTCTCTACTCTTGTAGCCAAGGAGATGGGTGGGTTTGTTTTGCTTGATGAATAATTCTCAATGAATGTAATTTTTGTATGCTATTTGAAACCCTGAGGTTAAGAGCTTCAGTTGGCTTGCTGTTAATATATATATTATATATATATATATATCTACACACACACACACGAAGAAAATAACCCCATGTTAAAAAATAAGTTTCGGGTGTTATGTATGACGGTATGTAAATGTCCATAAAGTAGAGCACGGTCTTGTGGACTATTTTACGGGTGAGATCTGTAAATACATGAGTTGGGTGGTATGTATGTAAATGCCCTTAGCAAGTGTTGACGTTTAAAATAAACATAAAATTATTAAAAATTAATGTTATTAATTAGTATGATTAAACTCAATTAATATATATTAATTAGGTTAATTAAACTTAATTAAAGAAATTCTCATATGTCTGCTTGCTCCCACTCTCTCTCAAAGGCATAACTGTTCGAGGTTCCATTTGAAGTAAAAGACGCATGATAGGTTTGGTAATCCCTCATTCGCACTCATTCACATTATTTTTGTTCCCATTCTTCCCCTGCCGTTCCAAACCCTCTCATTCTCCTTCCCTGTTTGAAACCCTTATTCTTCACATCGTCTTCTCCGCTTCATTTGTATTCTCCGGTTTGCAACACAAAAAAAGTCACTATTACCCCATTTAATTCGCGCGTCTAACTCTTTTGTTCTCTATTCATTTCGAAAGATCACAATTGTAAGCAACTTACCCAAATTCTCCTCTTTGAGTGCCAAATTGTTCATAAAAATGTCGTTCTTCCTCTTCTTTCCTCCACGCAAAGAGATCACGGCAACTTTTATGTTTGATCCCTATACGCACGAATTCATTGTCCCTCCCCCATCAATCTTGCCCACAATGTGCACGCCTACTCTATCTTACACCAAGTTCGCAATTCACCAACCCACTGAAATATGCACAGTGTCATTCTTGCTTGCACTATCATTTCCCAATCGCGAAGCCCTCTACCTATTCTTCCCATACAAAGCCAAATTTCACTGTGTCAAAATCTCTCGTCGATCTTCAGTGTGTCGCGATCACCCATGTGTTTCAACCTGTCGAAGCCGAACAACACCTCCCTACACAAAAAAGGGTGTGGTTCTCCCTGCCCTAGCCTATGCGATCCCAAGCCTGAGCACTCATCTTCTTCTCAATCGCACGAAGGATTCCTACTGCGCCTCCCTACCGCGTTGAGTATTCCTACTAGGCTCTTCTGCTCTATGTCACGATCTTCCTAAGCCACGCAATCTCCCCTGCACTGAAAGCCTTCACATGTCTCCCCTTCCTTGTGTGATTACTTGCCCTAGCCTGCGCGCTGGAGTTCCTCTCCCGTACGATCTCCTATACCCTAACCTATTTCATTTCTGTTAATCAAATGAAGGAAAACTATGTTATGCTAACCTTAAGAATTCCTTATTTGATTTCATAAATCCGAATTAACTTTTCTGCAGCTGTTGCACGAACCGATCCCCTACTTAAAGCCTTTTTAATGTTTGTTTTTCATTTTTATTTTATTTTGTGATTATGCATTGTAATAAGAAAAATATATGTATGGTATTTTATATCCCGACGACGCCGCCAGAACTCAAAAGGTATGATGTGGGGTAATTAGGAAGTTTTTAAAAAAAAAAACCTCATACTCGTAAATTGTGAACTAGTCTGGAGAATACTTTTAAAATTGGGATTTCGCTTTCATGCTTGTACAATATTTGGTCAATTGGAAAATTTTTAAGACCTCCATTCGAGGAGAGCAAAGTACTTGTTAGGCGAGGAAAAACATGAACTCGTCTAGAGAATTCTTTTTAAAATTGGGGAACTCTCTGCTTATGATTTGAAATTTTCTACAAGTACATTGAAGGCAAGTCACATCTTTTGAGATCGCAGGTTAAATATTCTTTTTGCTCCCCGAGCATAGTGTCTTACAACACTAACCAGTGATTCTTTCGAGAAAGCTGGAAAGGTTGGCATTTTTTCGTGCCCCTAACGGGGGCTAGCGCCGGAAGGCTACCGAAATTTTGGGTGAATTTGGACTTGTAAATAATTTAAAAAAAAGGATTGTTTAGACTTTCAAAATGATTAATGAAATTATAAAAAAATGCATGTTACAAAATACATACTAACACTTAAACTATATTTGAAGTCATTTCAAGAGAATAAATTATATGCACTTGAGACTTGCATAAGATTCATAAAAAATTGGATGACTCGCCAATTAATATAGTTAGACTTTTCTTTGACATCAAATTCGATAACATTTGAAAGGTAAACAAATGAAAAATCTATATCCAAGTACAAATGAATTTGTATATGGTATATTTAAATCCATAAATTGAGGCTTAGCTTAATTAGCCTAAGCTTAAGGGGCTAAACTTAAATTAAATACCAAATTTTATAAATTAAGGCCTAAACTTCACTTAAATATGAAGTCATACTTTGGAAGTTGAGCCTGAATTAAATATAAAGTGTAATAAATTAGAGCTAAAGTTTGATTTGGTCTAAGCGTAGGAGCTGGCAAATTGACTCAAATATCAATGCATAAATTAGAGTTAAATCTAAGAATATAAATGTCATTTTTAAATGTTAAACTCTGACTTATTCGTCAAATTCACCACCAAATTCGCAATACACTTGCTAGCAAACAAAAGGCGGTCCCTCTTAAGGCCTGAAGATACAACATTGCATGTAATCCAATAAAATAAAATCCAAACAAGAGTTTATAGCTTCAAATAGCATTAAAAGTTTTCAAAGCATATAAAAGCTTCATGGGGATTCCCCGAGTCCAATGAAATATCTTGGAACCTTCAAGCTATTCAAATACATAAATTAAATGTTTGCATGTGCTCCAACCAATATAATGAATGCTCAAATACAAAGTTTGAGAATATTGTGCGGGCTAATTGGGTCGTCTTCTCTATAGAATAAGATCCTAAGTTTCACCCAACTAGTTTAATTATTCTCCTTGCAAAGACTGGAGTTAATGAGTATGGTAATTTTAAAATAGATGTCTAAATCCTGAAATAAAAATTTATAAGTCCAAATCACCAAACTAGTAAGATCCTCCTCTTTGTAAGAATAGGAGTCGACAAGACTTATACCCTAAAATTTTAAACTGACAAAATTAAATGCCTAATACCCTGATGATGGCCGAGTTGAAGGAATATTTCAACCGGATGAGTTAATCTTTAAAATAAAGCTTTTCAAAATAACAAATTAATATGTAGTTAAAAGTAAATCACTAAAAAGCTAAAAGCAAATTTTATCCACTCTTCGCAACAATTTGTTGAGGGTAACAAGCTTCTGATCGACTTTAGCTCACAAAGAGTGAATTTAATATCAAATGTATCAATATATTAACAATCAAAGTAATTGCATGTCAGTAAAGACATCGCCCGAGTCCTCTGCTCGCGTGGTTCTCCAACGACACCATAAAATAGCAATTACGACCGAAGCCCTCTGACCGGATAGTTGCCACCAAATAACATCATTATATTACGGTCACGGTCGCAACCCGTATGATCTTCAACGGCTTTCTACCCTTTGAGTTGTGAATCATAAGGGTACAATTGATTGGCATAAAGTCCTTTGTTAACTAAGATCAACTTAAATTAACACCTTGGACAAATAACCACCCCAGATCTACAATGGTACCTTGGACAACGCAACCCGTGGCTACTAACAAGGATTCTTATTTCAGGTTGGGTTCACTACCTCCTCTGACTACGTAGATAAGGGATCATAAGGACTTGAGATGACATAATCATGGGAACTTGATCAGGTTTCGTCTTCATTCCCCACCATCTGCTTTAAGCTTCAAGTGATGAATTCTACAACTTAAATCTTGTGTCTGTTAATATTATAAGTTGAATATTCAATTCTTATTGACAAGCCTTAATCGAAAATGCTCTCCTGTTATCGAGGGGTAATTAGCTATAAGGGCTTACGCCTATGGGAAACCTTGAACCCCACATCAAAATGTCCTCACAACATGAGGGCGAAATCTGTGGGTAATGTCTAATCTAGAAAGCTCTCACAACAACTAAAATAAAAACAAATGCAGAGAGTTGTTTTGGGGAGCAGTCGTTAATTTTCGAAGCCTACAGCAAGTTTTAAAAGATAATCCCTCTTGCTGCTTTGCATATGTTTTGTCCCACAAGAAAAGTTTGAAAAAAAACGCTTTTCCCATTGCCGTATAAATATAGAAATGAAGCCAAAGTAAATACTACTTTTAATCTTCACTTCCCAGCATAATCATACAGTTAATTTTCACTCTTAATTCATTAACATATAAAAAAGTAACCCAATGCAGATATCAGAAAGAAATTGATTTGCAAGCCCATTTGCAAACAGGACATGTCTGTAACTCAAACCCATTAGCTCATGACCTCCATAACAAATAGAGGTAAACTAACCAGTACTATAAGCCTACCCGAAATGTCATTAACAATTAGCATTCCTATCATTTAACTCGTATTATAAACCCTTCACATAAATCCAAACCATGCCAATTGCAGCCTTCAATAGCATAACCAATATGATAATTTAAAAAGCAAGGCGCAATGAGATCTAAACTAGAAGAGCACTAAACAGCTACAGTTAATATCACATGTCAGGTGATTTAAAAAAAATCTTAAAGAGAAATCAACTACCATTTGAAAACCACCAGAATCAGTAAGTAATGCTCTTTTCCAGTTCATAAATTTGTGTAGACCACCCATATCATCTATCAAGTCCGCACCAGGACGAAGAGCCAAATGGTAAGTGTTCCCCAAAATAATCTGACAGCCAATTTCCTCCAGCTGGCTATTAGTTAAACCTTTTATGGTACCTTATTGAAAAAAACAATGAAGTTAATTATAATGAATAATAAAGCTCGTATAAAAAGAAAGAAACAGAGGTCAAAAACTCACAAGTCTGCCATATCATGCATGGAAAGTAGTAGAAAAAGGACCATCCCGGCACTTTCAGAGCCGGGCAAAGTGCAACAAAGAAAATAAGGGACCCGGGTCAACACTAAGCATTCAAAGCCAATTTAAGTGTGCATGAATACATCTCTGAAAAGTAAACTACATAAAGGTAGTAACCTCCAAAAAATGTTGGCGGGGTGAGTGGAGATGGCAGAAAATGGCCTGAGTGGTGCACCAAACAAAATGAGTATTACGCACACAAACAAAGTAATAAATATTTATAAACAATAAGGTCATTTAATTAATATTCTGATAAAATTATTAGATAAGAGATTTTGAGATTATGCCAGAACTATTAACTCATCAACGATAAGGGAATTTAATAAATGTCTTCTGCACGATTCTTGCAAATTTACATCATGAATGCAGAAAATTTGTCAAAGTAAATATCAAATAATAATAAAGCACAAAAAAGTTTTAGATTTTAGCATCCAACTACCAGAATAAGCATCTTCATGATTATAACTTGCTAGAGATTTAAACCATAATCAAGTTGCAAAAGCTACAGAAATATAGTGTGTAACATTCATTAAGCATGAATGACAGCCTATTGAACATTTCATATCAAGTAATAAATACAGGATTTTCAACATTTTTCATATAAAGTAAGAAATACAGGATTCGCAGAAAATCATGCAGATGGAAAAAAAAACCAATTAAAGCATGCAAATTATCTCCTCTGTTCAAATGAAACAGTCTCCGACCTTCATAAGCTAAATTTCAATTTATAAAAGATGTTTGGATACTGAGGTATGAAGTTTGCGTGAATCTCAGATAATGAAAGCAATTCTCTTAGACTTAAACCAAGGAAATCGTATCCAAATACAGCAAGATATTGAATTCTATAATGGATTCAAAGGGGCACTATCCTGACACAGGAATAAGGACAAGAAGAAACATGTAGTATTGTGTGATCCCTTGTTTTTCAAATTTGCAGTCACATCTTGAATCTATTTATGTGATTGGAAGTCAAATGGCGCAGAAGAAAAAAGGGTTGCCGTTAGACTTCATAGGAAAAACTAAATTGGAAGTTAGAAAGGGTTGCCAAGTAACTTTAAGTTGCATCAAGTTTTTACTTCATAATGCATGCATCTACACAAAATAATGCAACTGACCAGATCAGCGTATCAGGATGAAGCAAAAAAAAGATGATATAAATTATGTAGAAAAAATGGAGAAACAACCTCAAATCCACATAAACGGTAGAATATCAAGCTTTTTTTGGCTAACCTTAGAAGGACTTGAAACTTAGAGATTTTAGAAATTTACAAAAAGGATAATAAGTTTAGAGCATAGTAACCTTGTGTGCCGACAGGCATAAAAAGTGGTGTTTGGCATATAAAATGAGGGAGTGTTAGTTGAGCTGCTCGAGCGCGGTTAAACCTACCAACAATCTGCCAAGTAAAATGAAAAAGAAATAGTTAATTTTTAAGAAAAAAATAAGTTCATTCTGTGAAAGGAAAGCAATGCCATAAACTGTTCTATACCATTTTGCATGATAGAAGAACAAACTACATCTAGATCCATAGCATGTAATGTTTAAGTGACATTGGATTAACAAGGGTCGCACAAGAGCTAGATAAGGAAAATTTTAGGCCACTGATTCATTGCTTATAAGAAAATGCCTCTCTCGAGGATTCATTAACAAAAAAAAGAAAGAAATGGCCAGTTTATTGATCCATTGACATCAATGGGCGATCCCTAGATGATCAAACGACGATAGCTAGAAGCATTTTTTACGTGTTTGTTATTATAATTATTTATTTCCTTTATTTATTTATGTCCGGTTTTGTATATAAATACTTACTGAAATAATGAACAATCCAAGCTTTTCAGGCCACTTCTTTTTATATATGTAGGGACATATCTTTTATAATGTATCAAAATAATTCAGTGAAAGATAATGGAGGCAATGGATGAGATAGTGGATGAGAGAAATATGTGGGTGGCAAAAGTCCACCACAGACAACCTAACCCATTTTTTTTACTATTGTACGGATTTGAGTGAGAGAAGCTAAAAACTTCACCAAGCAATTTCAATAATGAGAAGGAGAACTAAATAGAAAGACAGTGAAACAGAGAGAAAGGGGGAAGATGAAATGCAAAGGGCAAATTAGTTAGGATAACGCAATAAAAATAAACAGAACAATGTCATATGATAAGTCGATTTAACTCCCAAAGCCAGCATATCCTAATTTAGTTTGATTTTTCTTTTCATTAATGCCTCTAAGAAATCAAACCAATAACCAAAATTCTAATCCATAATTTAAAGGAAAAATACAAACCGTAATTAGAATACTAGAGTAGGCAAAAAAACTAAAAACCCAATCAAAAATCCAATCCAGCACAAACTAAAATTTTGATTCAAACTATTCGGGATATTGGACTACATTTGGATTTTGGTTTGAGACAGTCCTGGCCAAAGTGTAGACTGGTTAGTTGGTTTTAGTTTAAGATTGGTTTTTGGCAAGCTTGGTTTCAAGCATGACATAACCGAAATAGAGACCAATCTAATGAATCAAAATGATTTTTCACAAAAATATAACAAGTTTTAAGAAGGAAACTTTGGTATTTTTTGCAATTATGGTGTTGTTGACAATAAGGGTCATCTTTCAGGCATTATAGCCCAAGAGGTTAAGTGAAATGATCGAATGAAGTTCACGAATCTAGTAAAATATTCCATAGTTAAGTGATTACTCCAAATTTTAGAGTCATCATAGCACCGCATTTTTTATTATCAATGCTCATAAAATGCCACAAATAGTGAGGAATTGGTGAAAATAATATTTTGCTCCATTGTTTGAAACATAATAGAACAAACAACTGTTGTAACTTATCATTCTTATATGCATTTTATAAACCTATTAATTATGAGTATTTATTGAAGCTAATAATAGAGTTATATTTTCTATTATGATTTCTATATTTGATGATATAGCCAAATGGCACCTTAACACAACATCTCGGTTATCTTAAGACAAATAGATTAAAAAATAGTGTTTTCAAATAGTGCAGCAGTATCCATCCCTCTTGCTCGGAATTTTAAATCATTTTAGACAGTATATTTGAGAAGCGATACAAGGCCGACTAATGTAAAAACTTAAATTAAAATTGCTAGGTAGAGGTGATGGCTTGAAATCATTACGAGAAAGCATCATAAACAAATAGCATCCAAATCACTATAAAATCCTACAAGCATCTTTATTTTTGTTGCCCTCAAAATGACATCCAAGTGGCCACCCCTTCCAATGCTCTTCCCTACTCTCACACAAATCTTAAGGTCATAATTAAGTGTCTGAAAGCTTCGAAATCCAACAACATGCGGTCCACCAAATGATGGAACGAGACGTTCACCAAGAGGCCCATATTGACAAGGATCTCATGATTGTTGATTATTACCCGGATTAAGATGGCTTTGTTACAAGTACTCCAAGCAGAAGATAAGTAGGCATATAAAACGAATTGCAAAGGAAAATGAATTATCAGTGCAATTAACCTTAGAATAAAGTTGTTACTAACTTCAACTTCAGTAATCCCAATGAGATGCACAATGATTCAAAACTTATAGGTTGTTGCAGACGAAGGTAGGTGATGCCAAACAAGTGGATTCGACAAATTGATCAAATGATGATTGAAAGCAAGTCTAGGTAGATCAACCATCTCAACACATTGTATTCCTAATAATGATGTCAATCAAGTTCAATGTTTGTCCGCCTATGAGAATGACAAATTTTAATACCCACTTATGCCACATGAATGATCTTAAATGTGCTTGATACATAAATGTCACTACCCACTCCAAGGCTAATATAAACTAGGATTTTTCCTAATGATTAAGGCGATATAAGAAAAAAAATATGTGATTTTGATTATTGTTTGGAAAGGTTGTTTGTTGACTATCGAGAGTTGTTGGACCGCCCATGACGTTCTACTCATCAAATTTGAGCCCAATGGATTGTTTTGAGCCCAATGGATTGTTTTTTTGCTTTATCTAAATAGGATATCAACACTATCAAATCCTTGGCCTCGTTGTTAAGCACAGGTTGTTATCAATGGCAACTTGATTGCTGCCTCCTGATTCACACACTATTACACCCTTGCCTCTTGTGTCAAAATACTCTTATGCTCTGTGTTAACGTTTACTTAATTTCCCAATGAGCGCACAACCAAATGGTTAATGCGAGGATAAAGGAATCTATGGAGTGGAAAAATAGAGTGTAATCTTCAATATTCATTTCTTCAGATGAATATATCTTAATCATAGATTAATATCAGCATCATCATATTAAAATACCCAATTTCTCAAAAGTCATTCTCAATCACAAGAATCTTCTTGGCTATGAAGCATGGACACGGGGCACAGGGACATGGTATAATTGCAAAATATAAGACACGAGACATCACGAATACATTTAATATTTTTATTTTCCATTATTCTTTATCAAAGCAATACAAAACAAAAACGCAAAGTTTAATTTTATAAATCTAACTTATATTATGAAATGTCAGGCACATAAAAAATAATTTTAAAATTATACATAATACGTTTCAAAAAAATTCTTCCAACTTATATACATCAATTTAAAACGTTTTACTATTACACCTTCTTTAATTAATTAAGTTAAAATTTAACTATTTAGAATAAGAATAAATATAGATTTATAAATATTGATTCATTAAGGAGAAATAAAATAAAAAGCATTCCTTACAAAATTAAAGTGACTTTGAGCACTAGGCTTCGACAAATAAAAGCTTCAGTGCAAGAGTCGCAAAGTTCACGGGATATTTGGATTAACTTCAAGGAACAGGTATTACTCTTACTCAACTCGTAACAAAGAAGCTTACGGCTTCGCTTTAGCTAGTGCAGGTTGGACTTTGATAAACAAAACTGAATTACAATGCTCGACTTCAAAAAATGAATGATGGACATTTGATGCTCGACTTTGACAGACAAATATGAAACCACTAATGCTTGGTTTCAACGAATATTGGATACACTTTCGATGCTCATTTTTGACGAATATTAGAGTGAGATTTTACATAACAAAAGAATAGGGGCTTCGACTATGAATTATAATTATGGCTATACATATATTTATAATTTTCTACTTCACTTGTCCCATTTTTTCTCAAAACATTTTGAGCTCGTGTTCGGCGTCGGCTCGAATCCAAAAAAAGTTTAGCCTCGTATTTTGAAGTGTCTAGCAAATGTAATAGCATATCAAAAAGGTATTGGTGTCTGATACGTGTATGACATGGGGATACCGGAGTTAACCCAAACCACAAAACAATGCACAAATTTACTATTGGCTTAAAACAATGTTACAATGAAGACTCAAAATAATAAAAGACAACACTCAAAACAAAGCATAAAACAAAGGCTTAGAACTAATGACTTAACAAAAAAGACAACAAGCTTGAAGGAGGGAGTCCGGCTAGGGGAGGTTGGATTGGCAACTGCAATGAAGGTCGAAGACGTAGGGGCTGTTGTGGAAGAACTAGGACAGCAGGTTGGCGATAGTAACAGCGTCGAACGACACCTGAAGAGAAGCGGGAACGTTTTTGAAGGCTGGATCGGCGGTTGTGGTGAAGGCCGAAGAAGTGAGGGATGTTGTGGAAGAAGTAGGACAGTAGTTGGAAAGGTTCGCCGACACTTTTGGAGGGTGGATAGCGAGTGGGGAAGCACTAGCAGCGATGGGAAAGGCCAGAACAGCAAAGTATCTGCTATAGGGGTGCACGCGGGCTGCCAGGAAGGGTCGAGAAGGGATGGACAGCAACTGGAGGAGGTCCGGGAGGAAAGAGCAATGCTGGCAGCCGTGGGAGAGGGGATGCAGTGGCTGGACAGAATTAGAAAAGTGGTTGGCAGCAACGGAAGAGGGGCGGTGCTGGCTGGGTTCGTAGCTGTTAGCAAGGAAACGGACGTAAGGGGAAGAAAAATGCATCGTCGGAGTCGAGCTACAGTTGGTGCACCACTCGGACCCTTAGACAGGGTCACTGCCTCGAACGAGGGACAGTCGAGGCACTACCTTGACGTCGAATATAGCCGTCAAGGGGGAAAACACAGACAAAACTGAATTCAGACTTCCATAAAAACCACCCCCTAACTCTAAGCACAACCTCTCCTCTTTATAAAGAGACATGACCTATCTTAAGAAACTTTTAAAATAAGGAGAAAAAAAATTAAATTTCATATTTTAAAAAAGGTCTTTTAAAATATGAATGAAAAATAAAAATAAGATTTCATATTTTAGAAAAAAGGCTTTGTAAGATACTAAAGAATAATAAAATCAAATATCATATTTTAGAAAAAGGATTTAAATTTAGAAAGTGTCTAGGAAGGAAAATAAAAAAAAAGGAAAGGAAGAAAAGGAAAGAAGAACAAAAGAAATGAATGGGAAAAAGAAAAGGAGTGAAGAGAAAGAACGGGAAGGCAGCCCCCTTCCTTGAGGACAAGCCAGTCCTCCCCCGAGCCCCGCATGTCTCCCAGAGATAAGGGATCTTAAACTTCATCTATCGAAGCTTCTGGTTCCTTGACTTTAATCCTGGCAGCACCCGGATCCTCATGGTATGACGTTAAGTCCCCTGGTAGGTCGATCATGTCAGTGTTGTCATTCCACAACACATTCTGGTAGAATAGGTAACCATCCTCTTTCGACACATCCTGAGTTAGATATGCATATAGAGGAGAGTTCTCGCAATGCAATTTTCGAGCCCTTACATTTGAAATCTTCTCTTTCCACTTCTCATGTCCACCAAGAGGTGGTTGAGTCACAAGATTGAGAGGAGAACTCAATTCGGGGATGAAATCTGTGGCAGGTCGTGCCACTCTCACTAGCGGTCGCTCAAAAGAGACATCTTCTTCAATGGCAGGACCTGGATTTCATTGAAGAATTTTCCTCCCCTTCAAGTTACTATGGCACATCTAGAAGTCGTGGTTCGTTCTTTCTGTATGCTGATGGGTATCTTGTTGAGCTAAATCTAACATCTGAAATACTTCCTATAATATTCCAATCATGGCACAAAATGACTCATCTTCGGACATGTTGGACCTCCCTTTATAGGGGCAACTCAAGAGTGGGTCTATAAATCTGAAATATTTGCATTTTCCTTATCTGCGGTGACCATGTATCAGATGTCGGCTACTCAGACTCATAACTCTTGTAGAAATCCCAAGTCGGTCCTACTAGTGTTCCTCTCAAAGTTTGCAAAATGCTAGCTCAAGGCTCCATAATAGCATACACTGTTGTATTGTCCATTATCTCATAGTCACTATCTTCTAGAACAGCAATTGTTACCTTAGAATCTCTATGTCGGGGTCAACCGGGGTGTCTCTTACTCGTTGGTTGAAAAAAGAGAATCTTTTCTGAAGTTTCTCTTCTTCCTGGTCATCGTTCATCTCCTCAACTGGAAGCTAGTACTCGCTTATGTCCTCAACTGGGTGTACTACCAAGAGGGGTCGCTTGGTAGTACGGTCCCTCCTCTTGGGAAGCTAGAGTCTGCAAATTTTTACAGTAGTAAGTTGGTAAAAACCAGCGCCGAGTTTTCTGTTTCTTCTTCATATCTTCTCGTTCCTCCCTTCGACTTTCCAGATCACAGCTGAAGGTAACTTTCCACTGAATTTTCTCTTTAATATTCATAAGCATTTGTTGAAGGCGACGGAATTTTCGTTGCATCTGTCCCCAGGTAGGCTCGGTCATATTTCTCCTTGGTGGCATATTTGAAGATTTAGAATCTGTGAAAGGAAAAAAAGAATTAACAAAGAAGACAAAAAAATAAACGAAAGAAAGAAAATAATTTGGTGTAGTGGACTAGATAGAGGCGGATACTAAAAACCAGAGGATGGCAGTTAGGTTGAACTAGCACTGATTAGGGTTTAGGGTTAGAAATCAGAGGATATGAATTAGGTTGCACTAGCACTGATAACAAATGATATCGGAATTAACACAAACCACGACACAATACACAAATTTACTACTGACTTAAAACAAGGTTATAATGAAGGCTCGAAATAACAAAATACAACACTCAAAACAAAAGCACAAAGCAAATAATTTCAACTAATGACTCAAAAAATAAGACCCAACATACTTGATGAGGAGGTAGTCCAACAGAGGGGAGGATAGATTGGCGGCTGCGGTGAAGGCCGAAGAGGTGGGGGTTGTTGTGGAAGTGAGGCAGCAAGTTGGCAATAGTAATGGCGTCAAACCGCAACTGAAGATAAGCAGGAACGTTGTTAGAGGTTGGATCAGCGGCTGCGGTGAAGGTCGGAGATATGGGGGCTAATGTGGAAGAAGTAGGACAGCATCTGAAAAGGTTCACTAGCACATTCAGAGGGTGGACAGCGATCGGGGAAGCACTAGCAATGATGGAAAAGGCCGGGACAGCAGGGTAGCTGTTGTAGGGGTGTCGATGGGTTGTCAAGAAAGGTCTGATAGGGATGGATAGCAACTGGAGGGGGTCCGGGAGGAAGGAGTGCTGACAGCCATTGGAGAAGGGTTGCGGTGGCTAAACGGGAGCAGAAAGTGGTTGGCAGCAGTGGAAGAGGGTCGACGATGGCTGAGTTTTGAGCTGGAAGCAGGGAAGGGGAAGATAAGTGTCTCGTCGGGATTGAGCTACAGTCAGAGTATCACTCAGACCCTTGGAGACGGTCATCACTTCGGACAATGGACAGTCAGATCACTACATTGACATTGGATACAGCCCTCAAGGGTAAAAAAACCCTGGGACAAAAACTAAATTCGGATTTTCGTAAAAACCACCTCATAAAAATCACCCCCTAACTCTAAGCACACCCTTTCCTATTTAAAAAAAGACATTACATATCTAAGGAAACTTTAAAATAAGGAGAATAAAAATTAGATTTCAGATTTTAGGAAAGGCCTTTTAAAATAGAAAGAATAATAAAAAACAGATATCATATTTTAGGAAAAGGCTTTGTAAAATAATAAGGGAGAATAAAATCAGATCTCATATTTTAGGAAAAAGATCTAAGTTTAGAAAGCGCCTAAGAAGGCAACTAAGAAAATAAGGAAAGGGGAGAAAAGGAAAGAAGGACAAAATAAAAGAAGGGGAAAAGGAAAGAGGTGACAAAAGAAAAGAAGGGGAAAAGGAAAGGCGGGAAGAGGAAGGAGGGGGCGGCAGCCCCCCCTCTCTTGAGGATCGGCCTGTCCTCCCCCAAGCCCCGCGTCACATGGTACGACACATGTTCAGTGTGATACATGGATTCTTGGGCCAATAAGGATTCCTTGAAAATTGCTCTCGTATGTTGAGAAGTCCTTCCTTTGATACCCCGTTTGGGGCAGCTTATTTGGTGTGGTGCGTTCTCAAAACGCACCCAAGACCGTTTGGGTAAACTGTTTTTTGGCAACTTATTCAAAACATTGCATTTTCAAATTGCTGAAATCAGTGCTTTCACACTGTTCCTGGCTAGGTGCGATGACAGCTTTTTAGTTGTTATTTCCAAGAAAAAATGGTAATAGTAACCAGCTATAAGCTATTTATTATATAATGCAAGAGGGATGAGGGAGTCGCTGACATATTTCAAGTTCTGCAAACACAGACATTAAATTTTTTTTTAAAACAAAAAATAACATATTGAACAGCAGCAGCCATCTAGTAATGAGGATTGCCAATCTTACCACGCTCAAGAGGCTTAACTAAAATAGTGACATCAAAACTGTATTGCACTTGACCACTAACCGCACAAAGGCTATAAGTCTGGGGAACACCAATAGTACATTCTATCTTTGGTGTCCTTTTCTTAAACAACATGCCGAGATAAATCCAAAAATTAAGAAACCTAATAAATAATAGGCAGAATAATAAAGCTCGGACTCGCATGAGAAAAATACATATTATCCAAGTTAACAACTCATCAAAGTTTAATTATAGAGAAGTTTGATTTAACTACATGCCTCGAATGAAAGCGCCATCGGAAGACAATTTCACCGAAGTCAGCGTAGAAGTAACATTAGCTCGCGTGCTTCCACTCAAAAAATGAATGAAAGTTTGATGACTGGAAAGGTTTCATCGACCTTTTTTTCCTGAAAATCAGAAATGAAGCTGGTTAAAGACAGGGGATACTTACAAAAAAGTTATTAGGGTTCCAAGTGCCATATTAGGGGACAAAAAACAATCATAATGAGAAAGAAATACCTCAGCCCGGAACTAAGTATGAATCAATGGAGAAGGGATACAAAATAAGACATTGATCAATGTCATAAATAGACGAAAATAACACAAAAAGAGACACTGCTGAGATTAAAACACTCACCGATCTTAAAAACTTACAGGTTTATCGAGCTTCCGTTTGCCGCATTTTTTTCAACGAGGAAGGAAGGAAGTGAGGGTAGAGAAAGCTGGAGGAGAAGAGCCACTAGCAAGGACGGCGGCTACAGTCAGTGAGGGGAGGAGAAGGGATCGGGGACAGCTGATGAGCCAAAGCATTGGCGGCTCCATCAAATTTTTAGAAGATTTGCATACTTACCACTAAATTTTCATGTATTTACATATTTGACACCAGAGTTTAGTTTTTAGGTATTGGTCACCATATATATTTCATTTTGATAAGTTAAAATGGTGATAAATCTTAAAAATTTTGGAAGATGTAAATATAAAAAGCAAAATTTAGTTATTAGATATGTAAATATATTAATTGAGTGGGGTGTATGTGAATGGCCCTTTATAAAATTGTTAACCTCTTATCTTTGTTTTCCAAATTGCCATCTAACTATCATGTTTTTTAATAAAACTTCAAAAAGTGTGTTTTTCTTCTATCAATTTTCCAACATTTATATAATACCTACATACCTGTTAAAATAAATTATTTAGATGTTGGCTTAATAAATAGTGAAGATTTCAGGGGTTGGTATGTAATTATCTCTTCATCATTATACTTTGTTTTTGACTTTATGTGCCTCATAATACAGGAAATTAACTAAATATTTTATGTGTATTTTGCTTGCATATGGATACCAAAATATTCCATTTTTATGAAATTACCCAAGATAAAAGATAATATCTTAGAATCATAGATTGGCCTTTAGTTTCATAAGCCATTCAAAATCAGTATAAATTTTAGTAGAATTTAAACTAATTTATATTTAGTATTAGCCTTTTTTTTTTTTTGGACCAGACCCTTGAGTGTGAAGTTCGATCAAAAAAAAAAGTGTCGCCCTTTCTACTTGTACGAAGAAAAGAATAAGAATCGCTTATGTTATAGGGCTTCTCATTTAAGGTTTGTTTGGGGCAGCTATTGAGTATTTATAATCTGATGATAAGCAAATTATTCTGATAATCTGATAATCTGCAGATTATCAGAACAAGTTGATTTGCTGTTTGGGGCAGCTCAGTGTTCCCTGGGTGTTTTGGCTTACGGTAGGAGAAGAATCATACCGTTGTTGTGTGGTGGATCGAAAGGTTTGTCTTCCTCTTTTCTTCTTATTCTTCTTCGGTGCTGGTGCTCACAGGTAAAAATAAGAGAACTAAGAGAGAGACAAATGAAGTAAGAAATTCTTCTTATAATTGTCGACGTGATCGACAACGGTGCAATTCATCGAGTAATAAAATCTCCTACAACTCCGTGAATATAGGCAATTTGTCGAACCGCACGAATCTGTGTGTTTCTTTTTTGTGAATTTTCTCATACTATTCTTTGCTTTCTTCACCGATCATTTTATATACCATAACAAGTCTCTCTCTTGTTTATAATTCTCAGAAAAGACGAACCTCCTGTGCATCGACAAAACTCATAACATACAGAGGAAAACAATTTTTTTCAAATTGAGGCTTGTTCTGGTCAAACATTAACGAAACCATTATTATGTGGAGAGGAGTTTGTAGTGATAGCTCATTAGCGACATACATCCATGGGAATAATTGCATGTGAGGCTGAAGTTAAATTAGTGATAAAGGCTAATTAGAAATAAGTATTGATGGGAAGGTCATCATTCATTAGGTATAATTTCAATAAACCCTTTACAAGGTTCAGCCGGTATGGACCTGAATCGGGCAACTTTAACTTCAATAAAACCTTTACAAAAATTAGAGGTCATCATTCATTAGGTATAATTTTATCCTAAATAAACATTTGAAACTATTTCACCAAATAATTATTTAGTCGAAACATCTTACTAAATATATATGTTACGAGTAGGGCTGTCAATTTAGCTCGTTGTTCGCGAACAGCTCGTGTTCGGCTCGTTCGTTAAGCTTAACGAGTCGAGCAGGAACAAGTTTTGAAGCGCGATAAACGAGCCAACAAGAACAAACATTTGTTCGCTCGTGTTCGGCTCGAATTGGCTCTAAAAGAAATAAATATATAAATATATACACACACATATAATACATATTCATAAACTTAAATATTATAAATTTTAATTAATTAATACATGTTTGTGAATTTAAAAATAAAAATGATAGCAAACATACCTCAAATTTTTTTTTTAATTACTATTATTATTATTTTTTTAAAAGAGTGGTCAGAGGCCATAATTTAAGCCAGCAACCAATCTTATATATCTAACCAAACCACTTTATCCCATGCTGAAGACAAATACACTCAGATGGGCTCCAACCCGTGACCCCAAGAGATTCGCGACCGACATAACAACTGTCAACCAAAGAGTCACAGCGAGCATCATACCTCTTAATTCTTATATATTTATACATCTAACACCTAAACTTCAAATTTTATATATATGCCTCAGTTGAGCAGGGAAAAAGTATTTCTTTTTAAAAATTCCCTTTTTTTGTGTGAGGTGAAAGATGCGAGTTAAAAATGTATCAATACACAAGAATCGAATGGCATGCATCTAAATGCCTCTTCATGCTACTCATGGCAGACAATTAAAGCAGACAAGAACAATAAAAACGGATGTTTGAAAATAATTTAAAATTGGCACAGAAAGGCAATGAGTTTAATATATGCTCATTGGCTCAGGGCCGGCAGCAGCGGATGGGAGTATATCAAGCAAAGAGTTGTGAGGTTCTAACTCTTCGTGCCATAGTGGAAGCGAGTCCACACTGTAAAAGTTCCTCGTCGCTCCTTCACCATTCACCTGCAGGTATAAGAAGATGAAAGGCACTTTTCATCCACTAAATATTTCTCGTTACAAATTGAATTGTATGTAAATAAAAGTAGAGGTGAGCATTCAGTCGCTTTGGATGGGTGACCGGTTTTCAAATTGGTCAAACCGCTTATAAGAAGCTGTCGGTCATCGGAATTGAAATCC